TTTTGTTCAGGTTTCATGATCGGTGATAAACTTCCTCGACTTTTCTGCCAACCCATTGCATGCAGCTCAGTTCTAATTGTCTCCTTACAGACAGCCACAGTTCCTCTATCAATCATATCCAGCCTTAAGTTTTCTAAACTCCTTCGTTTGCTTTTAGAAACAAGAATACCAAGCCGCCTCCTGTCACCGACAGTCCATTTTCTGGGCCTACCTGTGCCTCCCTGGTGCTCAATGCCATATCCATTTGCAATATTTTTCAAAACACGATAAACAGTGGACAAAGGGATGCCTGTTCTACTTGAAATCACTTTAGCTGAACTGATGTCCTTGTTATAATACTCTAAAATCAACTTCCCCTTCTCTAATTCATCCACACTGAGGATCACTGAAAATGTCGTCTGCTAGCAATAAACAAAGGGGGATAACTCTTCACAAAATAATGAAAAAGGATTAACGAAGTTGTCTCTCTTGAATGAAACCAAGCACTTGATAGCTGGTCAAGGTTGTTTGTACTAGAAATCCAATTAAACATATTCCTAAAATTCTCAATAATTTCTGGTCATACTATATTAAGTGACAAGTAAAAGTTGAGAGGGTGTGTGAAAAAGACGCAAACATCAAAATTCCATCTGGGCGTTGTACAACGACAAATCGGCCCCAGCACAAAATTGGTAAACAGTAACAGCAACAACCTACTTCGCCGGGGCTAACCCATTGCCCTATGTGATATGAGGGTTAAGGTTGCGTTCAGGGACATGGGGGTTGAGGTTGCGTTCAGGGACATGGGGATTGAGGTTGTGTTCAATGACATGGGGTTAAGGTTGTGTTCAATGACATGGGGTTAAGGTTGTGTTCAGCGACATGGGGTTAAGGTTGTGTTCAGGGACATGGGGTTAAGGTTGCGTTCAGGGACATGGGGTTAAGGTTGTGTTCAATGACATGGGGTTAAGGTTGTGTTCAGGGACATGGAGTTAAGGTTGCGTTCAGGGACATGAGGATTACGGTTGCTTTCAGGGACATGGGGTTAAGATTGCGTTCAGGGACATGGGGTTATGGTTGCGTTCAGGGACATGGGGTTATGGTTGCGTTCAATGACTTGGGGTTAAGGTTGCGTTCAATGACATGGGGTTAAGCTTGCGTTCAGGGACATGGGGTTAAGGTTGCGTTCAATGACATGGGGTTTAGGTTGCGTTCAGGGACATGGTGTTAGGTTGCGTTCTGGGACGTGGGGTTTAAGGCTGCGTTTACGTTTATTAAATTTATATTAGGAAGTACATGCACCCGTTCGTTTGTACAGGTTCGGACCAGATCAAGTGACGTTCCATGCTTCAGGCTTAAATTTAACTGATATTACGCGGCCGAGAATCGAACCACTGACCTTGCGCTCTCCAAGCAGACACTCTATCCACGAGACCACGGAAGGGTTCCGCCCCGAAACCCCCATGAGTGAGTGAGTTTAGTTTTACGCCGCCTTTAGCAATATTCCAGCAATATCACGGCGGGGACACCGGAAATGGGCGTCACACATTGTACCCATGTAGGGAATCGAACACTTGGGCGTGACGAGCGAACGCTTTAACCACTAGACTACCCCAAGGCCCCAGAAATCCCCGTTGGAATTCACCTCAGCATAACGCTGACAGGAATCACAACACCGAAAAGCACCCCACGTTACTGCCGGTCATAAATACTGTATCAATGCATTTGTAGCGATTCCCAATATATATCTTACCTGTAACACACTCATCAGACTGAAGACCACCAAATGTCTTCTTGCCCGGTTCTTCAAGAACCTGTAATTCGAGAGTACCTCCTTTCGTTGCTTCCAAGCTGAATTTAAAGTAGGATAACGAAGCACTATTTGTCCCAAAATGTCTATCTAAATAGCAGGGTAGATGACACACATGCTCAAATTGCTGGGACCCCCGCCTGCACTTCGCCTTGGTCGGCGAGGTACACAGTATTACATAATCACCGGTACGGGATAAAAAGTTACCACCATTTTGGCGTGTCGCGCTAATTGAGACATCCACGTCATCAATTATCACTATCACTGGAAATACTTTCTTTGGAGGTCGTTTGTTTTGATCTATATATAGCCCACATGCCAAGTCGATTTAGCATTAATAATTCACGCCTGTAACTGAATAATTAGACAGACGCGTAGTATCTGATAGAAGCAAATGCCTATTTTATTTAAAAGAGGTAGAGAGCGGGAGATTCAGAACCTGAACCAAAATAATGCGTGGAATTGCTTCATCTAGGGTTTATGCAATGCGGAAGTTACAAGGTGGAGGAGTCAATAACATGGTCCAGGGCCTGAGAGTCAAGACTTTAAAATAATTGAGTAAATGTGTTGGCATGAATGTTCCAACATGTATTGCATACAATATCCCTTATTAACTGCTGTGACCATTATTAGATCTACTATTAAACTGATTAAAAATCATTTGAGCTTGTTTTAGGTTTGTATTGCCCTAACATGCTGTGCACTCCTTTCAGGTCTAATAACAGACAGGAGAGACTGGATGTGAGTGAGTGAGGTGAGTGAGTGAGTGAGGTAGGTGGGGTGAGGTGAGGTGAGGTGAGGTGAGGGTGAGGTGAGGTGGGTGAGGTGAGGTGAGTGAGTGAGCGTTGGATTTTATAGCAACTTAGCAATATTCCAGCATTATCACAGCGGGGCATACCAGAAATGGGCTTCACACATTGTACCCATGTGGGGAATCGAACCCAGACCTTCCGCATGACATGCGACCACTTTAACAGGGCCGGATACAGCAGAGAAAGGGGGATGCACACTTCATTTTCACCTGTTTTCAATGGTCATTTAATAAACTGTCAGGACAAAAGGATCCGCCTATGCTGTAACCGCTCGGCTACCCCGACTATCCACTGGATATTACTTGAAGCCATAGTCAAAACAGCATACCTATCATCTGGGTACAACCATACACAATCAGACAGGTCACATTCTGTGGTTGAGTTGAGGGGGCACAGTGTTAATTTCAGGATGTTTCATACAGCATCATGCATGCATGTGTGGGAATGGCATTGTGTGTGGGAGTGGGGATTGGTTGGGGTGGGGCCGTGTGGCTGCTTGTAGGAGTCCAAAATAATTACCATGCTTGTCGTAAGAGGTGACTGAAGGAATCAGGTGGTCAGGATCACCGACTTGGTTGACACATGACATGGGTTCCCAGTTGTGTAGATCGATGCTCATACTGTTGATCACTGCATTGTCTGGTCCAGACTCGATTATTTACAGACCACAGCCATATAGCTGGAATATTGCTGAGTGTGGCGTTAAACAACAACCAACCAACATAATTAGTACTGGTTTTACAGATGTAACCCACATGGGTATGACACAGAAGTTAAACATGGCTACCCCCAACTCAGACACTCTGTACGGCCTCCAGGCAGACCAGTCAATACATAAAGTGTCGACATCAGTGAAACAAGACATACTATCTTTCAACACCTTTTGCCTTGAGGAGGACGGGGACTGAGCCACCGACCGTCCTCACAGATCACAGATAATTAAATAGGGCTGTTAAAACTAAAACAAAAACAACTTGGCATTTCTCGGCTAAGTCTGTTGGTTCTTTGTCAGAAAATCAATGTAAAATTGTAAACTGTTTACCATGGTCGCTGCTGATCTTACTTTGAAATGTCTGTATGTACTTCTAAGAAAGTCTCGCTCTGAAACAGGTGTACAGTGGCCAGAGACAATATTCCATGTGTTTCATAATTATTATTAAAATATGTTTTAGGTACTTCAATTCTTAACATTGTTTTCAGTTTTGTTTATTTCTACATATTAATCTATTGAATAACGCTAAGTCTGTGAAACAAAAATATATTATTGCTATTTTGTTTATTTTTAAAGGCATTGGTGTATTTGGTCACTAGTCATCAATTATAGCAAATACATTCCCAAATATAACTACAGAAATCAGGTCTGACTTGCACATATCCAAACATTCGTCAATATCAACACTATTGTTGATAATTACAAAGGAACAAAGAAAACGTTTGTTTCCAAGTCAGATTTTATAGTTGAGGTACAAAACTCCAGGGCTTGAACAAGTAATCAACAAGATGGCCGAGATCCCAGGTCACACTAACCTGTTGAGAGAACAATGTCATTGTGGGGAACTAGAGTCAAGGGAGATAACTTCCCACTCTCTTGCTATCACACCACTGTCATAAACATATTTCATCAGGTTATTGTTATGTGAATTGAAATTTGAATTGTTTCTGAAACTTTGATTAGTGAAAATGAAGTTCAATACTATGCAAGCCCCATGTCCCAACCAGAGGACAAGTGACAGTCAATCATTGACTGAGATACATTCCTTATGTACACTGAATGAATGCACATCAAAACAAAAGTGAGTAACCATACGTTTTGAAAAGGTTGAAAGTAAATATAAGCCATATAACACATATTCAATCAATTCTTTAGCCCTAATATTCACACAGGTTTCTTGCATTGGTGTGTAACTGTTAGTGGTGGTCCGATTAATTGAAATAATCGAAGATTTGTCGTAGTGACTAAACGACCAAGCAATCGATCATAATTTCTCATAATCGAACACAACCAATTTTGGAACACGTTTTCATTAACAATATTTTTTTCACATGGTTGGTTTTGTCTGTTACATTTTGTAAGCACTACAAGCTCGTTTCAAGTCATGATTGAATTTATCTTAAAAGCTCCAAGAAGTTTATGTTCATAACATACCGGTACTAGTCATCCTTTAAAGATGTGAAATTTTGCCAAAAAGCCCCAAAAGAACTACATGGGTTTTTTTTCCTTATTTTTATGTGCATTAACAAATTTCATAAATGACGCTAACCAACTATTTTCGATGATTGATCGGTTGTAATGAACCAATCATCAATTATGAGATACCGGTATTAACCAATTCCCAACACTAGTAACTGTAGCCAACAAATCGTTGCAATTTTGAGAAGCGAGCAGGATCAGTTCTCTTTCACAGAATTTCAGCCATCCTGAAAAACTTGGATACCAATGTGTTTATGTCGTCCAATAGCTGGCCTTGACCTTCTAGCACTAATATCTTCCTCTCTGACATCACACAATAAAATACACAATCAACACACATCACATGACTAGTTCTTCTCCTTCCCATACTTGTGCTTGTATCGTAAACTGGACACAATCGTTGGCCTATGGGGGAAGGCAGTCTTTCCACCAAACATTGTATCTGTGTCTTTGTCAAATCGTAAAGGTTCCATCTGAATGTGCAAGTTTTTGGGCAAGTCGAGCTTCGCGAGGTCGTCATATGCAGCGGTGTTCTGACAGGAGTGGAGAAGTAGGTGAGGACATCGTCCATCGTCTTCATCCCATCCAGCGCCAGGTTGGGGATGTCGTGATCCAGGTCCCTCATCAGCCGTGTCAGCAGCTGCAACACCAGGTGCCATCTTGTTATTATGTCTGTTTAATGCCATACTCAGTAATGGAGTCAGCAACATGTTGGAGAAAATCCAAAGTGATGTGGAACTGAGACATTTACCATTCTGATGTGCCATCAGGCAAGATGGTTAGGGACTGTTCACAATTTATGGCTAGGGGCGGTGATGATGATTTTAAGGAGGGGTCATTGATTTTGTACATGACATGCATGGGGTTCACTTACTTTGTACATAAAATTTTAGACTGACTGACTGGGTTTGGTTTTACGCCGCTTTTAGCAATATTCCAGCAACATCACGACGGGGGACACCAGAAATGGGCTTCACACATTGTACCCATGTGGGGATTCGAACCCGGGTCTTCGGCGTGACGAGTCAACGCTTTAACCATTAGGCTACCCCACCACCCACATAAATTTTAGAAGGGGTCAGTCACACTGTACATGCTTCTCCAGACAAATCATCATTACCGCTTCAACTGTGCTGACAGATCTTGATTCACATAATATCGAAAGAGTAGATCTTTTTTTCTTTTTATTTTAACGTTTTTATTTCCCAGTACATGTTTACATGACATTATAATTATGAACAGATGTTCACATATACAAGGCATACATAAATAGATAGTATTTACAGGTTTGGCATAGGGCCTTAGTCGGTGTTACATTGACCATTCTTTCTTTGCAGATATTACATATCGATAAGTAGGCATAACTACATAATACAGTGAAGCCCCGTTAGTCTGGACTCCGATAATCCGGATGTCCCGACTCCTGCTCCCGGACGATTTTAGCTTGTTACCAATCTATGCCTATTTAATTTGCCTCGATAATCCAGAAATTCGGTTTCCGGAACCGGACGGTAAGTAGCTGTAACCAATCAGTAAAATAAACAGTAAACTGCTTCACAGTCCGGATGCTGTAAGTCATGTTCACGAACCATAACAACGTTGCAAGTCACAAGTGTGCTTCGCTAACTTTGCGAAATGTGACCAAATACCACATCTCATATTCAACCGATGGATGCAGGAATTATTCGGACATTCAAGGCATACTGTACATAAGTAGACCAACGGTACAAAATGTTGCTTTGTATTGTAGAGTAGACCTTGTTGGTCTTATCAGAAACTTGCTGGATGTCAAAAGCATTGAGGTTTGAATTTTTATGTCAGACATCCTTTAGGCAAACCACGATTCTTATTCCATCACTTTGATGGTATCACTTCATAAAGAAAGAAACTTTGACCTTTTCTTTCACTAGGATCTGCTGTCATATTTTCAAGATGGTCTCCAAACATCTACATATTTTTAGTAACAACATGTTCAGAAAGTCTCACTGTACTTGTTACCATGGTTACGTGATATCTGTCATCAGCAATCATTCTAGGACACTGTAAATCACCCACAGTTATGTCCCTTTGTTAGGGAATAAGCATACAGAGACCACATAACTAGGGCTGAAATGGTAAAGCGCGATATTAGTAGAACTGTGGTATTTTGCCTTCAGTTCGAACTGAAGGCCTTGTACCACAATACGTACCGTACCGTCCCGTTTCACCCTACATATAATACCTATCAAAGTCACTGGTTTAATATATTTAATAGTATTTGAGCTATGACACGATGTGTTAGGGAATAAGCATACTTTCCTTTTGAGTTTCATCAGAGACCACATAACTAGGGCTGAAACGGTAAAGCGCGATATTAGTAGAACTGTGGTATTTTGCCTTCGGTTCGAACTGAAGGCCTTGTACCACAATACGTACCGTACCGTACCGTTTCACCCTACATATAATACCTATCAAAGTCACTGGTTTAATATATTTAATAGTATTGGAGCTATGACACGATGTGTTAGGGAATAAGCATACTTTCCTTTTGAGTTTGATCAGAGACCACATAACTAGGGCTGAAACGGTAAAGCGCGATATTAGTAGAACTGTGGTATTTTGCCTTCGGTTCGAACTGAAGGCCTTGTCCCACAATACGTACCATACCGTTTCACCCCTACATATAATACCTATCATAGTCACTGGTTTAATATATAGCAACTATGAACAGTATTTGAGCTATGATATGATGTGTTGGTTTGAAGTGGGAGACTGACAAACCAAACACTATAATCAGGGTGAATCAATTATGTGACTCGTGATCTTCCTCTGGTCCTCAGAAGGCATTTGTCATCATCCTAATCAATTGTTTCTGCCTTAGAGATGCAACTCTGCATGGCTGCCTTAGAACACTGGGACACCCATCACTATTTACTCAATGCTTAAATATGTAACATATACTTCCAGTCCACTAACATAATAGTGGACAGACCTGTAAACCAAATTCAAGACAATTTCTCAAGATCCAACAATTACCCATGTCTTACTGCTGTACATGGAGGAAAAGACCAGGTTATCCTCTAATGGCAATAAATATTCCTGATAACATATGATACAACCACTGATAACAACTTCTTAAAATATTACTTTCACCTTTGACATAAAAGTACTTGATGTTTGATATGACAGAAATTATAAGTAAGTATGTACATGATGTAAATATATAGTTCCATGCCTGTTCAGGCAAACACGCCTCAAAAACTGATAATGATATAACCTTAATGCTAAATTGACCTTTGACTAATCTTGAGGTAATATTTTCAAAGCAGTGTGCATGCTACATGTTGAAGAAATATACCAACTTTGATCATAACTGTGTTTTATATTGAGCCCTAGACCACTGAACTTTCCAAAAGAAACCCAAAATGGATGTGCCAAAAGGATGAGGCCATTGGGAGGGAACAATAATCTCTTAATGGCCATAAACTTTGAGCAGTAAACCTCACAAGTGGTCCCTGCAGTCAAATTCTAGCAAAAACTTAAGGCAGTAACGTTTCATTGGACTGTAAGTAACATCAAAGAATCAATACAGTTACATTTGCATCATGCAACTGTGTGACTAGAGCTCACCTTGAACTTGACCCTCCTGTCAGCCAGGTCGACCTGCCTCCACTCTCCAACACTGTCCCCACACACCTGAGTAACAAGTTGCTCCAACCTCCCTTCCAGGTCAGCGGGAGGGTCGTATGCTTTGTTTGTCCTCACTGACCTGCAACACAGAGGTCAAAATGACAACATCTTCATCATCAATCCTTCAGCTCTTGTAGACCCTACATTGCAGCAATACCATGAAAATGTTTGCATAATGGTCTCTGTTTTTAACTATTTAATCAACAAATCAGGCACACACTTGGTTTAAGCAACAATTCAGCTAACAAGTGATCAGACAAACAGTACTATTTCTCACTTTATGATGTGTGTAAGATATGTACTGCAGCCATGATGATGTCTGCCTTGTACACTGGAAGGCAATGGCTGGATATGTACAGGGGCTGATCCAGCATTTAAGAAGGGGGATGCATATAAATCATGAAGTAAAAAGGTTGGGGGGAAATGCCCCTGATGCTTAAATTTCTAATGTATATATGGCTTATGAACCCTGTATTGGTTGTAGCTCTCTTGCATTACGTTTTCTTTTTCAGTGACTGGACTCGGTCAGAGGTAGTTGGACCATCCAAATTCACTCGTTTTCTAACTTTTCCTTCCTCATCCTCTGTCTTCTTCTTCCGCCAGAATAATGACCTGCTTTGAGTCACGACCTGAAACAGATAGCATAACAAATTGTATGACTGAACATGTCAATAAGCATCAGAAATGAAAAGCTTGTGGAAAACTTCTTACTACCTCATTCTGGCTAATTACAGTCATTTGGAAATGTTTGGCCCAATACCTTTTCCAAAAACACATTCAACAGTTTTCAAAGATATTCTCATACTGTCCAAATAGTGCCTATAACATGGCAAAAGCCGAGAGCATTAATTTGGGGGGAATTCCCAACTAGCATACAAGCATTTCATTGGTGCCGAAAAGTACAGCTTGCTAAAAGGAGCTTTTACCTACACCAATGGACCCACCTATGTTACTGATATCGTTTATAAGTGTGAAAAAACAAATTGTTGGTTCTACTAAAGAATTTTTAAAATGAAATCAAAATTTATATTTGAAGCAAGACCCCAGAGGAACAGTTTTGATTTTGAAAACATCCTATCGGTTTATAACGGAAATAATAGCAGGAAGTTAAATATCTATTGGGAAAGAGTTCCGCCCGTAACCCCTGCATTTTAAAATCATTCCATGCCTAAGAATATAGGCCTAAGTTTGTTTGTTTTTCATAAAAGCCTAAACCTAACCCTAGCCCCCTAACCCCTCGAAATAATCCTAATACATAGAATACATTTCAAGCGGGGGATACGGGCGGAACTATTACCTATACGTTTTTGCTTCGTGTTTGCGAAACGAGCCTCTGTCACTGTCAGAGAGATTGAGACTCTGTGATGATCAATTTATCTCAAGCGCTCTCGGCTAGTGCGACAACAGTTACATGCAAGACACGTTACCATGTTGATCTAAGATGAGGCAGTATAAGTTGTAAAGTTTTGGTACAGGAAATGCAAAGTGTATCAGAAAGCATAATTAAACCTTACCGGACAAATGTTTTTCGAAAGCAATAGCCCATAGCTCGGTGCATAAGACCTCAGCATGATTCCTATGGGGGCTGCCATCTTTGAAGGTTATATAAAAAACAACGCATTGACTGAAATACGGATTTATGATGTGTTAATGCATATGGCATTGGCTTTGTTGTAACATATAGTTACAATACAAACAAGTTGATGAACATATTTGTAAGTTTGCTTGAATATATTAAGCAATTCCCTAGGTTTTGACATTCAATGTATAGGTAACATTCGTTTCCTTGCGTTGAACATTTAGAATTCAAGGGGAAGAACTCTTGTTGGCTTACTAGACAGACATTCCGGGCAAGTTGGATTCTGAGAAGATTGGCGAAAGACATTTTCGCCCAGACACACTTGCAGTCAACAATATGCTTACGTCTATGATACAGCTTGATATTAGGAGGACGATGCACAATTTATTCCGGTGAAATACATTTGACATGGATTCGTCTGCTTGTACCAGGTTATTCAGCCAACAGTCATGGGTAATCATCTCCAACTTTCATTTCCATATGATATATCCTTCCAAATCTGCTGACCATGACAGCTATACAGAACAATGTAAATTGTTTACTATAGGTTTCAAATCATCTTGTCACTCTTACATTGTTAAAACCAGCCTTGTATAAACGGTCCCATCCTGAAACTTTTAAAAAAAAAAACCTATGAGTATGACAAAACTGTTTTTCCCATGTTTAGGGAAGGGCAGTAAAATCTAAATTCCACAGATGATATTCAGCATTTCAATATTACATCAGACATTTGCTGCCTCTGTTGTATGTTACAAATTTATTTTCAACAGTTTTCATTTCAATTTAATGCCTCTGACAGATCATTGTGTCAACATAACTAATGAGGGTGGATCAGTGCCGCCAGTTTTATGTGCTATTTCTGTCTCATGAGTAACATCATGATGTGTTAAACAAAACAAAATACAGCATCAGAAAGGTTGTAGTATATGGTCCTGAGTTAAGCGAAATCAGGTGACAAATCAGGTGCAGTTAAGCAACACTGGAAGCAGAGTGACAGAGAGTCCTTGGATGGCTAACGGTGTGGGTGACATGAGCATTATGGCTCTTGAGTGTTTATGGGACTTCAGTCCTGTCCAACACTGAAGGACTTTTAACACATATGGTGTCTACTTGTGCAAAGTGACTTTAATGTTTGCCTCTTATCAACAAGGAATGCATGGGTACACATGAGCATGAGATAGCCTTCTAAAGCCTCACAGGCAGTTTTGGTTGTATTGTCCCAAGGAAGATATGAATATAAAACCTTCGGATCTATTGTCCAAGGTAATAATTATGCCTCATTCAATTTCATGTCCTCCATTTCATGGGGTAGTTTCTTTGTGATTTACTCACTGGGTCACATTCCTTACAAGTGCCAGAATCCTAAAATTACGGTTTTGATTATTATTATTATTTTAGTTGTTTTTTTTGTCAGATGATGGCTTCACACATTGTACCCATATGGGGAATCGAACCCGGGTCTTTGGTGTAACCAGGGATACTCTACAACAGGGATAGGTCACTCGCTTGCTTTCTTTACCATTTGTACTAATTAACGTGTGCCTCGTCATGCTCCAACGCACACAGTGACTTGGTTCGTTCCCAGCGCAACTTCGGCTGCGTTTAACAGTACTTCAGCCAGTTTATTGTATCAGTCGGAAACTATCGGCAACTGCCGGAATAATGCTCGGTAAATTGGAGTAGGCCCCCTTGAATGTTGTCACAACAACCTGGTTACACTTCCTGTCGCCGCCTGATAGATGTGTGGATTACAGGAGGATTTGAGGATGTTTTTACGCAGTTAGCATGAGTTGAGAAGGTAAGTTCATTCATGTTTTGCTATATATTTAAGAAACATTCATATGAACGTAACGTAACGTTATGGCGAAGAACAGTGATTTTATCGATTGGGAAGATTTGGAGTTAGCAGACTTTTTGGGCGATTTCAGGAGCGACCACAGTTCATCAGAAGACGAGGGTGTTGAAGACGTGGAAGTCGCGGCTAAGAGAAAGCATACCTGTGACAGTGAGCAGACCGGCCCATTGTTCAAGTGCCCTCTATGTGTCAAGACCTACAAGTCTCAGTCAGGTTTCAGAAGTCATGTTCTGAAGAAGCATAACAGAAAGGATCTGAAAGGTAAATTTACTTACAATTTAAAAAACAGACACAACAAGACGAAACATGAAAGGAAAATAACCTGAATCCTTTTATTTTAGGAAATGAAAACAATATGAGTCATGTGAGAATATAGATAAGACCTCTAGTAATAATCTTGTCTTCATAAACATACATATGATTATTTGATATTACAAACATGGACTACAAAATGTAAACAACTGTCCTTTGTGAATACTTTACATTATTTTGGTCTGAAGAAAATGTCTTATAGGATTAAACAGACAGCAAGTTGGTTTTCTAAGTGGAGATATGTACAGAAATATGTACAATATGTAGGTATCTGGATAAAAAAAATATAAAAAATGATAATTACATAGGTATTCTTGGTAACCATGAGTACAAGTAGGATTTCACTGCAGGTGACCTGTGTACAATACAATCTAATAGGTAATAGATAACACCAAATGACATGGCAACGTATAATTGTTTCTGATTTTATTCAGACAATCTGACATACTTATAGCCAGGATGTACTCAGAATTGGATAGTTTTTGGAAGGCAACTAGACAATGTGTGAGTAACTATAACTTAAATGCAGAAAAATCTATTATGAATTCTTAGTTTTCTATTTAAAAATCAAGCAAGAAGGTTTCCTAAAGGACTTGTAGATTTTTCAAAGTAATAAGTCCTATGGTCTGACATTTTGTTCTAAACACTGCGTATAGTTTTCCAAGTCACATTGGGCATTGTTTCAAAGTCACTTTGTCTGAGTCATATTGACTGAGTTCAGGTTACACTTATACATTCCTCTTTTTTTGGGCAATGGTTGTTGGTTTACTGTCCCAGCAGAGCGGCGTTTATTGGTAATATTGCCCCGAACCGTTGCAATAGCTTGAGATCCCACAGTTCTCATAGTGCACAAAGTATTAGCACTTGATACACCGAGGGATTTTCATTTGATCCACCCTTTTGTCTATAGTGCTTGTGAAATGTTCTTCCAGGGGATCTTGGTTAAACCTATGTGTCAGTACAAAATCTGCCCCTTCGTTGAGCATGAACCTCACACATTCCACTATAGATCGTACTGATATTTGGAGTCCCTCTAAAGTTTGATGACTAAGCATCATAGATGATCTTTGTCCCTTTGTAAAGTCTCCAGGACGATTGGTCACACTTACTCTCCATGAATCAAAGTACCCAAGAAAGTCATTCATAAGATAAGTGAGGCGGTCATCATCTCCTTCACAATATATATCACGATCCCTATTTCTTGTTTTTCTGCCTTCAGATAGACTTCTGACATTCAAGCAGTCAAAGAACTTATTCATATGACTTATGAATTTCACCGTTTCTATCACTTGATCGCCATATAATTCTTCCAAAGCATCCGCGAACAGTTTTACTCAAAACCACCAATGCGCCAAGTTTACTTTCATCTGTGAGAATGCTGTTAAGTCCACATGAGCTCTGGTCAGTTTTGGGCACAAGCCTGTACAAATTGGTTTCACAGTAGTCTTCAAATAGGTTCACTATATGCATCCATGAAATGTTCTTTCCATCCTTCCACAATTTTCTGGATAGTTTGTGGCTACTTGAATTTGCAAAGCAGTTGCGTGTAGTTTTCATTAAATGTGGAACATCAGATATAAAAAATAATTCACGCCTAGGAGTTGCATATGTATTCCATGTGAAGTAAGTTGGTAGTTAATTGCAATTTTCTTCTTTGTGCATGCCAAAGAATTTCCGATTAGGAGAGGCACCATCAGATGTTACAAACAGTACTTTAAGTCCACAATCAATTTCCAAAGTTTTCACACAGTTCCAGATAATATTGTACAGTAAATCTGCTGTCACACCAAGGGTTGCAAAAGCTGCGAATGGATATTTCAAACTTGTTGTAATTCCACGCACCATTACCACAAGCATAGAGGTTGCAAGTTTTCTTGTTTCATTTGTGAAGACATTTTCCAAGTCAATTAGGCTATTTGATGTTTTGTCAAAGTCGGTGTAGCCAATAAGTTCATCTGAAGCACTGTCATAAACAAGACCTTCTTTGACCTTGATCTCATCTTGTAATAGACCAACAAATGCTGTATGTTCATTACACTTTATGTTGTAACCAGCAATTTCGGAGATGAGATGTCTTGTCACTTCAGGATTGAGGCCAAGTTGATTTGGTAGCACATGAGAGTAATCAAAGAGAGTTCTATTTGACGGAAGGGTTATAAATCCAGAATCTCTCAAGGCTTCATACGTCTTCCGACTCTTATGTTGTAAATACAGGCTCCATTTTACAATCATGGGATGCCATCTCATGCCCCTCTTATCCCTAAGTTGATTGTATTTCAGCTGTTCATCCCAAAACAGGCGATGGAGAGTGTTTTCATCAGGGTAATTCTGGTGAACTTCTTTTGTGTGGCTTTCAACTAGTTGTACAAGTTCATTACTGGTTGATTCACTGAATATTTGACCATTTGCAGCAATCTGTTTTTGGATTTGCCTTCTCAGTTTGGTATTGTCCTTCACCAAAGCTTCATTGGTACTCTTCAAATGTCCTATTTTTTCCACTAACTGAGTCCTTGACATTGTTTCATGGGGACGATTCCACTTCACAGCATCCTCCGGACAACTTGGGGGTGAATGTTCATTTCGATATATCTTCTTGCATAGAGATCCTCTGTATACAACACACGGTTGGCATCGTTCTGAGTTTCTGACGAGAAAGGAACATTTTGTGCTTCGAATTGTTGCTGAATAATGAGTTGAACCACAGTTATCTTCTCTGAATGCAGAGGTTGTGAACTTGCTACTGGTAATCACTGCCCCAGGTGGAATAAGGTCAACATACTTATTTTCCCAGTTACCACAACAAACATTGAAACTTTCAAGTTTATCTGTCACTTTCTTAATGTCAGCTGCTCCATGAGCAATGTTAGGGATTCCTAGCCAGAAATCTTGGTCAGATGGTATGATCTTACGATGCACAGAAATAGACATAACACAGTTTGAATTAACAGACACAGTCCATTTCACTGCAGGTATCTCTGATGGATAAAGTTGAAGTAGTTTCATAGACCCTTGTGTGTTGATGATTGAATAGTTCTGAAAGATTCTGGAACTGTCATTTACACTCTTCCTTAAAGCCGCAAACTTTTGTTGGGGCCGCTCTTGAGAAAGTCTTGTGACAAACCTGTCTACATCTTCATCGGGATGATACATATATGGCCTCTCTAGTATGACATAGAACTCATTGGCAGTAGCTCCATCTGAATCTGTCAGCTCTGACTCTTGTTCATCTTGAGATTGGCTGTGTGTATTGAAGAATCTCAGCATTGCTGTCGACCAGTCCTGATGATCATGATAATCTCTGGACCTGCAAGAAACCAGTTTAATTTCAGTAACATAGTTATGAGTGACTATTGAATCGGTTTTATCATTATTTTAGTTAATCAGTATGACTTATTTACTTCCCTCCGAACCTAAAAAATTCTTGAAAACAAGGTATTAATTTGGTGTGGAGTAAAGGCACATCGGCATACCCCAAAAATTAATAATTCATTTCTCGCAATAATAGAATCTTATCAGCATTTAGGACAGCTCCCATTTAATTTATTCTGAAAATATGTACATACTTCTTATTGTATAATCGTTAATCAAAAAGTGTGAATTAATTTATTCAACGATTAAATAATGCACAAACTAGGACATCTTAAACTTGGCAGCACAATCTAGAAACCCCGAAACAGCAGCACTGATGACATTTGCAATGACACTTAAACACTTTTACAAATCATCTTTACTTAAAAATGGACAGTTTCTTCATATGTTAGCAGTGAAGTGCTTCAGTAAATAAACTACACCTGCAGTAATTCCTACTTCGGATGTTTTTGCTTTATCCATTTTGTGCATGAGCTAGTGTGGCAATGTGCCGTAGTTTGTGATATGACCTACAGATGACCAAACAATGTCCAAACATTTTCAAAATGGCAGTTGCTGTGCCTTCTCCCGTAAATCAAAGCCAAAATACTTACCCTGGATCAAAACTTTGATGTGGACAGTAGTTGTATTTATTATGAGTTTCCCAAGGAGCTATCAGCGTCTTATTTATGTCTCTCTTTGGTTTTCGACCAATCTTCTTTCTGACTTTCCGTGGCATCTGTAAGCAGAAACAGACTGATATATTTTTCATGTTTTGTAATGTTAATGGACTTAACATCTTTCATGCAATAACAAACAGAATATTGACAACATAATAAACATAATAAACATTCGACAGTAGGTACAAGTGTATAAACAGTTCAGTTTATTGTTGAATGTCGAGTCTGAATTCATATTGCTTTTTTAATTCATTCAGTGCCCTGCTGCTGCTGCTGCTGCTGCTGCTGATACTGATACTGATGATGATTTAATAATGTACATAATTTTGTTTTTACAGCAGCAGATCATCTACAGCTGACAGTAGACCATGGTGTCGTGCTGAAAGAAGACACAACAAAGCAGCAAACAAGTTGGTTGCCAGATGATCTCGAACAAGTTCTTAGAGAAGCTACTTCGGTCACCCTTACCGAGATGGAAAACAGCCTATACCACACGATGCAAGAATCAGCCCATGGATATCATATTGTTTTCCTTGCAAAAAAAATTAGTGGTCAATCAAGTGGGGTACTCACAGAGCCACTGTCGACCCATCTTAAAGAAATATTCAGGGACTTTGGCAAATCCGGATTCAACAGTTCTGAGCGTGAGGCTTTTTTCAAACAATTACACAAACTGAAAATGAACTTTGATGTACTAGATTCTGTTGAAGGGGATATTTGTGACAGCAGTGATCTTGGAAATAGTGAGAGTTTTGTTCCTGTTTTCATTACAAGTTTCATTGATGGTGTTGTCAGTGCTACGATAAGGCTGCTGTTAGAGAAATGTGAGGAAGACCAAGAAAAGCAGAATTCTGAACTGAGCCAACAAGATCAGAGTGTGCTGCATCTGATTGCAGGATTTTTTATCTATTCTGCCAAGAAAAGTGCTAAACAGGACAAGGAGAAGTTGTCAGCAATAAGCAAGTTAGTGGAGACATCAGATTCAAAGAAGGAAAACTTTCTCATCGATGTAAGGAAGTGGTCACATAAAATTGACAGAGGTGGTCTCCAGCAACCCTGTGACTCCTTCTTTCTCATTGTCAGACTATTTGAGACAGAAGCAAGGAAGGCTGTACCCGTGCTTAAAACTGGCAAAATGGGCAACCAGTCCTTAAGAGAGGCCATTCTAACCAATGTTTTGGTGATTAAGTATTGGAACTCTCTTGTCGGAGACTCGCACAACAGTAGTCAACTGTTGGAAGAGATCGTCCAAAGGTTTCTTAAAGTAAGGTCACATGCAATGGCAAGAAAACTGGAGCGAGAGGCAAGCAGGGCTTTGAAAGCTAAGAGAGCGCCAAGGAAGAAGTCTAGATCTCTTCGTGGTTCCATCAAGGACTAAAAGACACTGCTTTGTTCAGTGACTTTCTGTTTATGTGACTATTCAGCTTGATCATCAAGTCTTTATTTTGCACTTAAGAGGCCACAGGCCTGTAGTACATGTATACTGACTATATTGTTATTAGGCAGTAGAGAGTACATTTCTCCTGTGAAGAAAGGCATGGTATAGGAACATCGACAACTTTTCCAGGTGTTCCTTGCTAGGGTAGGTTAATAGAGATATAAATTTATAAATAGTGATGTACAAAGTAATAGTTCTTAATATACTTATTTCTTAAATTGTGGTAGGCTGGACAAACACGAAAATCATAATCATCTTCAATTAGATTCAAGTCACACATTTCACATATTCTATCGTCTTTTTTTTATTCCAATATATCCAGTGGTAACTTTCACACCAAGGAATCTTTTTTATTGCATATAAATGTACTTTTTCTAGTGTATCAAATGTTTGTAGTCCCCAAACCTCAGAGCCATACAGAAGTATGGGACTATTCAGCTATTTTGATATATGCTTGAAATGATATGTTACAAATTAAAATGTCTCATTATGTTTCTGCCTTTCTGTTTGTTATGCTTATGAGTGCCCCATGCCCTTTTCTCTCAATTTCTAAATTATCTTCCCAATTTAACAATGTGTGAATGAATGAATGAATTATAGGAAGACATTACATGTGAATGAATGAAAGAATATCCAGATATCTTCCTGCATGTGTGGAATGGCATGGATATTGACAGAATGTTAACTGACACTGTCACACACCCCTCAAATACAGAAATTTTAACACTTTATCACAAAGCGTTGTAAAGACCTTTCCAGTTTTCATATACTAAGATAAACAAGAAAGAAACATGTTTTAGAACTACAACACTCAAGCATCAAAGGCATCCATGGCTGGTCAAAACAGATCCACTATATGTCACATTTTTCACACACCTCAACTACACCCTAACAATTTTTTTAAAGTTATAAAACTATCACTATTACCTGCAAACACCTTTCATCTGATGGTATATTCCCCTCATAAATATTAAAGGTGCATGTGAAAGAAGTCTTTAGAACCATAACTAGAAGCACTCAAACATCGCCCTGTAGTATTTCAATGGCGGGTCAGAACACATCGGCGATATTTCACATTTTTCACACACCTCAACTACACCCTAACAATTTTTTTTAAATAATGAAACTATCACTATTACTTGCATACAACTTTCATCTGATGGTATATTCCCCTCATAAAAATTAAAGGTGCATGTGAAAGAAGTCTTTAGAACAATAACTAGAAGCACTCAAACATCGCCCTGTAGTATTTCAATGGCGGGTCAGAACAGATCGGCGAAATTTCACATTTTTCACACACCTCAAATACACCCTCACAATTTTTTTAAAGTTTTAAAACTATCACTATTACCTGCAAACACCTTTCATCTGATGGTATATTCCCCTCATAAATATTAAAGGTGCATGTGAAAGAAGTCTTTAGAACAATAACTAGAAGCACTCAAACATCGCCCTGTAGTATTTCAATGGCGGGTCAGCACACATCGGCGATATTTCACATTTTTCACACACCTCAAATATACCTTAACAAATTTTTTTAAATGATAAAACTATCACTATTACTTGCATACAACTTTCAACTAAAGGTATATTTCCCTTCTAAAAATTAATCGATTGTGTGAAAGAACTTTTTAGCGACATAATTTAGTCTTTCTCCGCTGTGTACCGAGAATGGAAGCCAGTGAGCTACAACACTCCGACTTGAAACTTTACTACAAATCTATTGTACTAATACTGACACTAATAACAATTATTTGACTTAAAATGAAGTGACAGAATAGGTGACTTACCTTCTACGTGTGGGTTATCAGTTGTCACAACACTCGGCGAATGTATTCAGCTGTTGAAAATAGACCAGGCTCAATCTTATATACTAAGCTGCCGCCATATTGGCTACACTGGTCACGTGACGAGCCGAGGCACAGCTCCGGGGCTTTTCGAGGAGTGACCACTCCCTCTTATAGAGTCTCCCTGGTGTAACGAGCGATTGCTTTAACCACTAGGCTACCCCACTGCCCCACTGTTCTAAGAGGCAATAAGCCTAACTCACACATTCAATCACTCCATCACTCACAGACTCTTGTTTCTGTTACAGGTGACAAGCAGGGACACTGGTGATGTAAACACAAAGTTCTCATCTTTATAAATGTATTATTGAAGAACAAGGACCCTGGTTCTGTCCCCAAATCCAGATACTGCCATGTCAGTGATAACAGTCCAGCTTGGTCAGTGTGGCAATCAGATTGGTGGTCAGTTCTTCTCTACAATCATTGACGATGCTTATTCCAAGCCGTCACAGGTCGGGGGTCAACCCTAGCAAGAACCAGGAGTATATTAACGAGACCCTGGACAGATTCTTTTCTCCAAGGGAGACAACTCTAGGCAAGGAGGATACAGTTGATGCTCGGGCAGTGATGGTGGATATGGAGTCCAAGGCAATAGCACAGACTTGTTTGGAGGCCAAGAGAAGTGGGAAATGGAAGTATCCTGATAAACAACAATTCTGTCAGAAACGAGGTTCAGGGAATAATTGGGCTCATGGGTTCTGCGTACATGGACCACGTGTTCGGGATGATGTATTAAATATGTTGAGGCGTGAAGCAGAAAAGTGTGACAACTTGTCTGGGTTTATCTGCTACTTGAGTCTAGCTGGTGGGACCGGGTCAGGCGTTGGTGCATACACGACAGAGGCTCTGCGGGATGAATATCCCCACTCATTCATCATGAATCAAGTTGTGTGGCCCTACCAGACAGGGGAGGTAATTGTGCAGAACTACAACGCCATGTTGACTCTCTCACATCTGTACAGCACGTCTGATGCTATTGTCGTCATGGAGAATGACAGCCTACACAAAATCTGTCAACAACTGCTCAACATCAACAAGATCTCATTCCGAGCCATTAACAAAGTTGTGAGCCACAAGATGGCTAGTTTCTTGCAGCCTGCTCATAGTGACAGTGATGGCTACACCTGTTCAAATGATCTTGGTACGTGGTTAGCTTAAATCAGCTCTCCGGGTTAGAATTGGACTTCAGCAACCCATGCTTGTCGTAAGAGGCGAGTAACGCGATCGGGTGGTCAGACTCGCTGACTTGGTTGACACATCATCAAGTTTCAAGTTGCTCAGATTGATGCTCATGCTCTTGATTTGTCAATTGTCTGGTCCAGACTCATTACTTACAGACCGCAGGAATATTGCAGTGTGGCTTTAAACAAGCAACAACAAAAATTAAATATTCTTGGTCATAACTCTGTCTTGAGAAGTATTGGTATCCAAAGATTCAAGTCATACTAAAAGAACTTATAAAATTCTCAATTCGTTCTGTAACATCGTTACGTTTGCGTAATGTAGTGGCAGAGCTGAGGACACAAAGATGCTCTTAATGCATGAGTTAGAAGAATTTGTCAGAAATGACGGACATCTCACCACACTTCCTTCTTAACCATGCAAGTTTAGGACTTCTGACTAAGTTGTATACATGATATTCATATGATGAGTGCAAATGGCCATTTTTCTAACTGTTGGTGGGTTAATCATAATTAGGAAAGCAGTCTTGTCTCGACTGGCAATCTAGCACATTAGCAGGTTATTCAGTTCATCTTCAACATAGTTGAAGCCCTTTGCATAGCATAAAAAAAAATATATGTTCTTCATATGAGGTGGGGTAGCCTAGTGGTTAAAGCATTCGCTCATTTCGCTGAACACCCGGGTTCGATTCCCCACATGGGTACAATGTGTGAAGCCCATTTCTGATGTCCCGCCATGATATTGCTGGAACATTGCTAACAGTGGCATAAAACTAAACTCACTCACTCACGCATATGAGGTAATGTTATGGCAGCCTTGTTTTACACTACACTTTTATATGTGAAGCAAGGTCTGAAGTCATTCCTCAGAGGACACCCTGACCTTCACCTCCATGGTCTTGGAGTCAGACTTGGATCACAAGCACTCCATTAACACCTTTTCAAAAACTGCCTCTAAATTTTGTTTATATTTGTTCCAGACTTCTAAGCATATTCACTTATTTTATATCTTTCTTTTTTTCTTTTTTTTATATATATCTGTTACCCTGACAACTGCCTTTTTTCACCCCAGGTTCTATGTTGCATCATCTTGTCCCCCACCCTGAGTATAAGCTCCTCACACTGAAGAACATCCCCCAGATGTCGGAGAGAGCCATGGAGTTCAGCACCTACCAGTGGCATGGCTTTGCTGAAGCACCTGCGGCAGATGCTCGTGGCTGATGCCGCTATGGAAGAAGGTAGGCTGATGAAGCACTGACTATATTCATGAAAGTCAAGGGTTCCTTGTCCCAATGTGGAATAATAAAGATTAAGTGAGTTTAGTTTAGTTTAACGCCACACTCAGCAATATTCCAGCTATATGGTGGCTATAAAGATTAAGACCTTAAATCAAATGCTCTAGGAGCAAATCTAACTGATCTCAAATGTGCCCTGACTTCTGGGACACTGAATCTTTGAAAGTGAAATGATGCTCCTATATTTTCCCTTGACTATGAGTCAGGGCCTAGATTTTTGAAGCTCTCTTAGCACTATGATAGTCGTAAGTTAATGTTAATGTATGGCACTTACGACTATCTTAACGCAAAGAGAGCTTCAAAAATCTAGGCCCTGGTTTCTTGGCATTCTCCAATATGCAAATGAATCATGAAGATAGAATTTGTATTGTCCATGGAGATTCTGGGTTGGTATTGGTTCCCTGCTGGTCGTAAGAGCAGTGGATCAGGTGGTCTGACTCGGTGATTGTCTTGATGCCATTTGTTACAGTATAAATCACTGGATTGTCTGATCCAGACTCAGATTATGACAGGCCACCGCACAGAGCTGGAATATTCCTGAGTGGGGCATTAAAGCACAAATAAATTCACAAAAGATACACATAATAAAGGTGGTAACGTCTATGTGCCTTTACGTCAGTGTTTCGCAAAGCATCTAGAACTTAACAGATGCCTGTCGGTTTGTTCCAGAGCCATCAATGTTTTATTACCAGACATGAGGGTGTATCTTCCATTTGCATAATAATATTTTAGTGCCGATGTGAGATTTTAAAGGATGCGTTCAGCCATCATACAAACCCAAGTACCATAACACATGACATAGTTTCATCTGACGAGTCGTTGTTCTCTTTTCATCTTCACACAGGCATCAATTGGGACATCACGACTGGGTCAGCGACTCCCAGAGGGTCACACAGGTCAAACCGGTCTCTTGCCAACACCCTGATTCTCCGCGGTAAAGAATCCATGACGGCAGATGTGCTGCATTTCAGGACAAGAAGTTGTACACTGATTGGATGCCCCATGAGTTTACACTGGACGTCTTGAAACAACCCCGGATATTCAACCAGTACGAAAAGTCTGCTGTCCTAGTCAGCAATAGCCAGTCTCCGATTGGTGCACTAGAAAACACGATCAGTCGCGCATGGACTATGTTCTCATCGCGAGCGTATGTGCACCAGTACAAGAGACATGGTTTGGCAGAAGATGACTTTATTGACAGTTTTGTGGCACTGGAACAGGTGCTTGCTAGTTACAAAGCATTGTGATCAATAACAGCCCATAATTAGGCTTGCCTTATTTTCTTACGTTTTTTGAAAATATTAAAGTCCTTTTGCTTTCAAATATGACTGAAATTGCAAATGCATATTTATTTGAATCATATCTGTACGATATGTGGAAAGGTTAAAATGTAAAGAAATACAAGAAATATACCTTTTGAAAATGTATTTACTGTTTGAATATCCCTAAAATAGAAGTTCGTTGATATCGGCTATGTGTTTTGTGTGTGTCAGCCAGTTGTGTTTGAACATGGAAAGACAATTCTGATCATTATTCACAGTAATTAAACTACAACATATCCTCATCATTTCATTTTTTTAGTAAGAAAAGTAAGTGTTCATGAATTTTGTGTACGTTTTATGATGTTTTGGCAGAATATATGAGCAACAACAATTACATGAAGTGTCATAAAATATTTGGTTCACCCATAATGGAAGTCACTGACATTTGCCAATAATTACATACTGTGGTATAGCTGACAATAACATACTGTGGTATTGCTGACAATGACATACTGTGGTATAACTGACATTAACATACTGTGGTATAACTGACAATAACATACTGTGGTATAACTGATAATGGCATGCTGTGGTATAACTGACAATAACATACTGTGGTATAACTGACAATAACATACTGTGGTATAACTGACAATAACATACTGTGGTATAACTGACAATGACATACTGTGGTATAACTGACAATAACATACTGTGGTATAACTGACAATAACATACTGTGGTATAACTGACAATGACATACTGTGGTATAACTGACGATGACATACTGTGGTATAACTGACAATGACATACTGTGGTATAACTGACAATGACATACTGTGGTATAACTGACACTGACATACTGTGGTATAACTGACAATGACATACTGTGGTATAACTGACAATGACATACTGTGGTATAACTGACAATGACATACTGTGGTATAACTGACAATAACATACTGTGGTATAACTGACAATAACATACTGTGGTATAACTGACGATGACATACTGTGGTATAACTGACGATGACATACTGTGGTATAACTGACAATGACATACTGTGGTATAACTGACTGACATACTGTGGTATAACTGACACTGACATACTGTGGTATAACTGACAATAACATACTGTGATATAACTGACATACTGTGGTATAACTGACAATAACATACTGTGGTATAACTGACACTGACATACTGTGGTATAACTGACAATAACATACTGTGATATAACTGACAATGACATACTGAGATATGACTGACACTGACATACCGTGATATAACTGACAATGACATACTGAGATATAAGTGGCACTGACATACTGTGATAATTATAACTGACACTGACATGCTGATATATAACTGACACCGACATACTGTGATATAACTGACACCGACATACAGTGATATAACTAAAATATAGCAGCATCTGTTGTGCCAATCAAGAGTTGTGATGTACCCGCCAAGGGTAGTGATGTTGTGATGTACCCGCCAAGGGGTAGTGATGTACCTGCCAAGGGTAGTGATGTACCTGCCAAGGGTAGTGATGTACCAGCCAATGGTTGTGATGTACCACCCAAGGGTAGTGATGTACCCAGCCAATGGTTGTGATGTACCCGCCAAGGGTAGTGATGTACCAGCCAATGGTAGTGATGTACCCGCCAAGGGTAGTGATGTACCAGCCAATGGTTGTGATGTAAGGGTGAGTGATGTGATGTACCGCCAAGGGTGATGTGATAGTACCCGCCAATGGTTGTGATGTACCCGTCAAGGGTAGTGATGTACCAAGCCAATGGTTGTGATGTACCCGCCAAGGGTAGTGATGTACCCGCCAAGGGTAGTGATGTACCCGCCAAGGGTTGTGATGTACCCGCCAATGGTTGTGACGGACCAGCCAATGGTTGTGATACACATGTGCCAATCAGGGATTGCAAAATACTCATCAAGAGGCATGATAAAGTAGTCAAAAAAATTTGTTTCCAATTAAATTGTTTATTTCCTCGTTCTCGTATAAAAACAACTGTTCAATGACGTTATAGTTTAAGACAGTAGCAGCTCTAACCGTCATATAATTTTACTCCTCTGAAAATGGACATCTCGAACCTTGTAGTTGTGATTGTATGCATACCTGGCTAACATGTTCTGTGGTAACTACATGAATACTATGATTTGTGTCATTTCTCGAAAAATATTTGAACGATGCCAACACCTTTCACAATAAGTACACTTTGAATAGTATGGACTGTAAATAATAGTCTCGAAAAGACAACACGCTTGCTTGCGTCAGCAGCGTTGTGATGTGTTTTGATTGACCGTGTGTGGGTAAACCAGGGCTATATAAACAGTGCCACCTCATATGTCGGTTGGCATGGCGTAATACACTCCACACCTGGAATAACATATAGCTTGACTGACTGCCAAGACACGCACTTACAACAATAACCTATTTAAACTGCTATAGTACCACGCCACCCAACCTGCCTGTTAGGCGCTACGAGGGTAACAGTCACATTACCGTCTAATCCTACCGGGTACCCATATACTACTTGGGGAAAAGCATATACCGGTTTCGATACCCTGCGTAGGGCGGTAGGGTAGCCTAGTCGCGCCGAAGACCCGTGTTCGATTCCCCACACGGGTACAGTGTGTGAAGCCCATTTCTGGTATCCCTATGCCTTGATATTGCTGGAATATTGCTAAAAGCGGCGTAAAACCATACTCACTTACGATAACCTGCATAGATGACAACGGCTTTCTTCTTTTTGTTGTTTTGTGTTTGTGTGTTATGTGTATTTCACTTGTTATATATTTTCATGGTAGACAATTGTCTGCCTATACCAATAGTATTTTGTAGGTGAGATGAAATTGGGTTTAACGTCGTGCTTGAGAATATTTCGCTCATATGACGACGTGCATGCGTCTGTATGTGTATTTGCGGCTGCTTGTACTAGCCCAGACTTAAGCTGGTTTTATAGTGCTAGCCCACTGAGATACCATGCCGCAGTGAAGCATGAATACCCCACTCAGACACATTATACTGACTCCGAGCCGACCAGTCCTTGTTGTACCCATTAATACCGAGCGCCAGGCAGGGACCAACAAGTACCATATTTTAACGTCTTTTGGTATGACGCCGTCGGGGATTGAACCCGCGACCTTCCGCTCTCCGGGCGGACGCTCTAACCACTACACCACGGAGGCGGTCAGTATTTTGTAACGATCGTATATTTAGTATAAGAATTTCCTCACAGTCAAAAAGGCCCAATGGTCTAAAGCGCCGCTTTGCAGAGTTGCATCCCTTTGGTATGTTTGCAATCAATGATCGTAAGTTCGAATCCGGTATCTTTATACTCTAAAACAAAGCTGAATCGCTGTGATATGACTGAAAAACTGTTCATAACGGCGTTTAACTAAACTTACTCACTCATAAACCTGCAAATACCAGTCAGTTTATGAAGCATTGAAATCTCACAAAGAAGAATGCTATCTTCTCGACAACAAAGAGATCATGCACTGAATTAATCTTATTTTTTAAAACGAGTTTCCAAGAAGACTTAGCAACATTTCAATGTGTCATTTTCAATGTAAATAATTTCTTCATGAACAAAACATGTTTCCTATTTGTTGAACTTAAAGCCGATCAAGATTGGATTTCTTTGATAATATAAATAACAAGCCCGATGAAATGTATTTATTTGACCTACAGTTTTCCGCTAAAAAATCCCTTTGATTCTGTGCTCCTTATAAGGCCACCCTGACCTCAGCTCGGGTAACCCTACGCCTGAAATTCCAATCGGCACGTACAGTGAGAACATCTCGGGCTTAATCGGGAGGTAAACGGTGCAGATCGGGTCACACACTGAACTTGGTGGGAACAACAGATGCGACGTTATTGTTCTCGGATATAACGACCAAGCCCGAAATCTGCCGATTGTTCTGCGATGCCTTACAACTATTGATGCAAAATGGCCAATACCCCTTACCCCTTTGTGGTCACGTACAGAGAATTACGGAATATCCCCTATCTTGGCTATATTTATTTATGTACAATTGAGCATGGGCCCACCCTACAAAACGATTTTCATCTATGTTTTGTCCTCAACATTTCCCAGAAGAACATATATACGAATAGAGCTTGATTTTAAACGCGGAAACATATCATATCCATTTATAAATATTTCACTATAGATATATAAATTTCGTAAATGCGAATAGAAAGTTATAATTTACAGAACGGTCATAATATAATTTAGTGATGGGTAGCGTATGATAATCTAGCACCACTTCTCGATGAACCCTGTATTTTTACAGCTTGTCATCTACTCGTAGGTATGTTTAGTATATGAAATCACAAACTGATTTCAAGCCATGTTTCCAACTTATCGATATATGATAAGATGGGGTAACATAAAATAGTTACTTCCAAACTGAACAATAATAGGACAATAACAATGGACTCGTGAAACACCTTTCAGCTAACTCAAGAATTTTAACACTACCTACATCTGTCTGGGATGCAGTGACTGTGGGCCAGGGTTCTTTAGCCTATTTTGATATTTAGGGAGCGTTTATAATTTATTGAGCGTGTGTGTGGGGTGGGGGATGGGGTGTGTCTAAGTGTTGTTCACGATTTTTATCGAGAAGCATGTCAATGACCCCCTCTTAAATGTATGTACAGGGACACACACACACACACACCACCCCCACCCCCACCCCACCCGCGCCTGTCATGTGCAAAATCAATGACCCCACCCCATCCCATTCCCATAATTGTTAAGCATTTTTTTTACATTCTCTTAAGTACGTAATTGATGAACCCCTAGTACATGTGCACAAAATTGATGACGACTCTTCTCCCCCGACCAAAATCGGTGACCCCCCTTAAAATCCCCAATTACCACCCCACGCACACACACTGCATCCTGTAAATTATCGAATCTGAAAGAGACATATATCATATTAACATTATCTCCAGAAATATTTGTATCTCGAAGTGTCATCTATATGTGAGAAAAGAGCCAATAGCTGCACCCCTCGAAGACATTTCGCCGTGTTGATATCCAAGATGGCCGCGAAAACGGAAGACAAAACTATAGGGACCACGCCGTTTTGGCGGTGAGACCCACACTTCCCGTAAACCAGATAAAATGTTTAACTTAATCGTTTTATTATGGAGTCCCAGGAGGGACGTAACCATATGCATTTTTACGATTTATCATGCATATTGAAAGCCGTCCGAAGTATATGCATAAGACTGACTGACACTTGTGACGTAATGCATTATAGCATTGTTGACGTGATATTCAATAGCATCGCAATAATTGTGATAATCAACAGTTTATACTGATTTATGGGTCATATTGATTTTACAAAACGAGAGTCAGTGTTATCGTACTTCCCGCGCGAAAGCAACAGTAATACGTGAATTCTCCTGAAACAGTATAACACATTACTGATTTTCATATTATTTATTATGCAGTGTAATATTTTCTTTGTTGCCCCTTATTTCTAAACTATTTTTATATCCGTTTCAAAAACATGCAGTGGACACGAACGGCGTGTTACCGGTAGAATTGTTGAATGGTGCCCGCAATCTTCGGAATGACGTCAGATGTGACGTCAGTCTGATCTTACGTCGGAGTAAGAATTGAATGACGCTAACATGATGTAAACAGCAATAAACCAGTGCGGGTGAAGTAATATTGTAATAGTATTAGTTACACGGTGTTTTGAAAGGGTACGGGACTGTAAGACCCTTTGTAAATTCCGTATTTCCTGATGTCGCATGCTGAAGCTTAACATAGATGCCCCAGTCAGACACAGTAAACTGAGTCTCGAAACACCGAGCGTCAGGCAGGGCGACAACAAGTACCATCGTTTAACATACTTTGGAATGATGCTGTCAGGGACTGAACCACAGACCTACCACTCTTCATCTTATGAAAAAGTTGGCAATGTGGAAAGAATTTCACCATTGATTCCGGCCGTCGTGATTTAATGTTATAAACCCGTTGAGCTCGGGTAATTACCAGCAATATTCTCCGTACACGTGGTGAATGCGTTACATGTGACGCCACGGCGTCTGCGACAGCGTGGAACTTACACGCTGTGTCCGTAAGCTTCAACATATTGGCAGCTGCTGGTTTTCCACGAAATTTCATTTTTTTAAATTATTATTATTGAATATCGCATGTCAATATTTTTCGTGTATATATAACGCTCGCTGAGAGACACTTAAAGTATTTACAACTACAGCACAATGAGAGCAGTACTTGCAGTGGGCGTCATACTAGGTAAGATCTATATGTCAATCCCCTAAAGCTGTGGTCAAAAGGCTGACTACCAGTCTGGAGGTCATTTCCGATGGTCATGTCAGGGTGTCTCAAAAACATTGTCACAGCTGACCGAGTTTGGATTTAAGTTGAACCACTAGGCTACCCCACCGCCCCACAATCACCCCAAACAGCCACGCGCCACTAGTCGTACCAAAGCAGCGAAGGTTTCACGGGCGATATCAGGAGGTCATCGGTTATCCAATCAAACCGTTAGAATCTCATGTCAAGTCGTTACGACACAGGCCAACGCGATACGACACTCGTGTGACGTACGAGATTAGTATGCAACTACCCATACGTTGACCACGTAGGTAATAAAGGGGCGTAGTGTATAAAACCTGTGAGGTTGGTGTATTTCGTATGAAGATGGGGCGGTGGGGTAGCATGGAGGTTAAAGCGTTCGCTCGTCTCGCCGAAGACCCGGGTTCGATTCCCCACATGGGTACAAAGTGTGAAGCCCATTTCTGGTGTCCCCCGCCGTGATATTGCTGGGATATTCCTAAAAGCGGAGTAAAACCCAACTCACTCACTCACTCACTCACTCCAAGCTTGATTTGTGTCGATCTCTTGTGACATTGCAAACTGCAACGTAAAACAAGATTCAACCACTCCTTATGTATATTAGTACAACTAGTTGCCATTATCACTGCTTTATTCGAAATAAGGCACCGCAATGTGCTAAATGGAGCTGCGGTCCTTGGGCACGCCACAAGGGTTACTACCTTATCCGTCGAATTTTGAACAGTCAGCAGTGCCGATCTGTCGAATCATGCTTGAGTGGTTCTGTGATAATCGGTCGAATTTCAGACCGTGTTAACACACTGGGAGAGCCTAAGTTCATTAATTAAGGGGTCGGCTTGTATTGGATTAGACTACAAGTTTTCTTAAATAGTTTCGCTTCCACTCTGTGCCAAACTGAATTTCAGCAAACTTATTTGTCCATTTGACAATATCGTCAACAATTTCAGGACAGACATTTTGGATTTTGATTGGTGACTTTTCCATTCAGCTGGCGAATAATATATTTCTCTGAGGCGTTCGACCTAATGGCATTGGGTCCTTGAACCACTGTCCTCCATCACGGCTGTAATACCTGTCAGGAGCTTGTCTTTGTACATCAGTCTCATTGTCAGAGTTGGAAGTAGCGTCATCCTCTGGGTCACAGTCGGATTCTGTGCTCTCAGATCCTTCAGATGGTTGATAATCTTCATCAGATCCACCATCACTTCAATCAGAGTGATAACCACCAAGCTCCCGTTGCATAAGTTCAAATAAGTTTTGTTAATCCATTTAAAATGTGCTCTAGTCACACAAGGTAGAAGACCCGAAAAAGGTTAATGAATCTGATTGCCCTGAGCAATTCTAAATGCTGGTCAAAGATATTATATATTCACGATATTTATAGCCTTGGGGCCCGTTTGGACCCAGCTCCATAAGACAAGGGTTAATGCATCAATTTCGATTTTCTACAAAAGTACAAAAATAAAGAGAGTCCAAACATATATTTATTGCATCAATTTCTCATTGTATCATATGAGTAGGCTAAGATAAGTACAAAAGTAAAAAAAATAAAGAGTCAAACCATCCAACACTCCTTGCGTCTTTTTCTTGGTATGATCCAATGTTTGGATAACTAATTCATAGCTAAGATCACAGTGCTCATCCGTCGAATGCATTTTAATACTTAGAAATCAGAAATTCGACGGATCGGTACGCGACCACCACAAGTGACGTTGGTTCGAATCTCAGTTCGCCCCCATTATATTTCTAGATTTGTCAGGACAATACTCGTGGTGTTTTACCGAAATGTGACTTCGGGTTATCCTTCGACATCGAGCCGACACGCCGCGGCATAGCTGGAATACTGCTCTGATAGCTAAGTTTAGCCAAACTCACTCACTCACCGTATTTCCTCTATAAAGCGCCGGTCGCCATTAACGCGTCGGGCCTCTATTAACGCGCCGGGCCTCTAATAACCGCCGGGGATAAAGCACTGCTTTTTAAGACATAAGCGCCGGGCCTCTAATAAGCGCCGGGTCTCTAATAAGCGCCGGGTATAGACCTTTGCATATTTTCGCAAATGTATTCTCCCTTGGTCTAAAAATAAATATATTAAGGAATGGTCCTTAAATCATAACTTCATGTACTCATCCCCCGCTTTTAAAAATACAGGGTATTTTAATAAGCGCCGGGCCTCTAATAAGCGCCGGGTCTGGAGGTCCTTTGAAAAAATAAGCGCCGGGTGCGCTTATTAGAGGAAATACGGTATTAGCATTACGTTATTCCATTGTCATTGGCATGGAGGTCCAATTAAGGCACCGCAATTTGCTAAATGGAGCTGGTGGTCCTTGGGCACGCCACAAGTGATCGTGGTTCTAATCTCAGTTCGCCCCCATTATATTTCTAGATTTGTCAGGACAATACTCGTGGTGTTTTCCCGAAATGGGACTTCGGGTTATCCTTCCACATCGAGCCGACACATCGCGGCATAGCTGTGAGCCAAACTCACTCATACACTTTTATCATTTTGTGTATTCACCTCGACTGATGAAGATAACTAACTTTATAGTCAAGGGATGTTACGCGATCATAACACAATTATTACGATAACTGACATAAAATATGGATAAGCTGCGATACATTACAATACATTACAGAACTGTAGCAAAATACGACAAATATACTGGTTATATAGTTGAAATGGACGTAATGAACGTACACTTTATATCATGGTTTAACATTAAGGTGCGCAGTAGCACGCTGGGGTCACTTGTTGATTTCACAGGGTCTAGCCATCTTTATTGGAGCTTTTACCAAGTAAGCCCCCGTTTCGCACACATAACAGCAAGGGAACGTTGTCTCTCATTGACTGACTTGATACGTGAACAAAGCAACCTGCGCATTGTTCTACCAACATGGCAACCAGCTCTTAAACATTCTGGGGTTGACATCTTAATGCACGAAGACTTCTTCCTTGAGCATCCTATCCGTGGGTATGGGGTCATGTGATTTCGATGGCCACTCCATGACGTCAAAATCCGCATTTTGCAGGAAACTTACCAAGGTACACGTTCATTACGGTTTACCTGTGCCAGAATTGACCCAACTTAGGACGTCGAGTACGAAGAAGTGGAGAGTACGTTATTAGTTGACGTTGCGGTCGTAAAACGATTACGCAAATGACGTTGCCATAGTCACCACCACGTGGTGGTGGACAGTACATGAAACTGTGGTCATGTGAACCCGCGGATTGGTCAGTTTAGCCTTGGCCATAATGTTATTCGCCCAGATTTACTTCCTTGTCCTACCTGCTTCCAATATAATTAATTCTCCTCGTGTGAAGTTTCATATTAAAGTAGGCGATATGTTGAATTGTGCTGATAGTTGCAGGTAACCATTATATTTGGTAACAAATGGAAGAACTTCAACAAAATAGAGCAAATGTTTGAAGCCAGAAGAATAAACAGTCCGGGTTATCGATCCCAAACAAATACCATTTGACGTACTATATTGATATTACATCCTATGAATAAATCACCGACAATAACGGTCTCGCTGGCCATCTTTCAATCGGTTCTTGTCAAAGTGCGTTAATTCATGCCACATTTTTGCGGATTTCAGAGTTCTACACAACTCAGAGACACTGGGTTGATTACATGTATGTGATATATATCACTACATCACGGCGCTAGCTCTGTGATATTGGTTCACTGTAACCTGTGATTACTTCGTACTGGGACAGATCGAAAAGGTCAAAAAATTACTTGGTGGTCAGTAGCCTACTGATTCTCCCATCCATACCACCACAGACCCAAGTCTTCATCCATACCACCACCAGACCCACATCCACATACCACCACAGACCCACATCTCCATACCACCACAGACCCACATCTCCCATACCACCACAGACCCACATCCCCATACCACCACAGACCCACATCTCCATACCACCACAGACCCACATCTCCATACCACCACAGACCCACGTCACCATACCACCACAGACCCACATCTCCATACCACCACGGACCCACGTCTTTCATACCACCACAGACCCACGTCTTTCCATATACCACCACACAGACCAACATCCCCATACCACCACAGACCCACGTCTTCATACCACCACAGACCCACGTCTTTCCATACCACCACAGACCCACATCTCCATACCACCACAGACCCACATCTCCATACCACCACAGACCCACATCACCATACCACCACAGACCCACATCTCCATACCACCACAGACCCACATCTTTCATACCACCACAGACCCACGTCTCCATACCACCACAGACCCACATCTCCATACCACCACAGACCCACATCTCCATACCACCACAGACCCACGTCTTTCATACCACCACAGACCATCCACCATACCACATCCCCATACCACCACAGACCCACATCCCCATACCACCAGAGACCCACATCCCCATACCACCACCAGAGACCCACATCCCCATACCACCAGATGCCCACATCCCCACGTCTTTCATACCACCAGAGAACCACGTCCCCATACCACCAGAGACCCACATCCCAATACCACTAGAGACCCACGTCTTTCATACCACCACATACCCACGTCCCCATGCCACCACAGACCCACGTCCCCATACCACCAGAGACCCACATCCCCATACCACCAGAGACCCACATCCCCATACCACCAGAGACCCACATCCCCATACCACCAGATGCCCACATCCCCATACCACCAGAGACCCACGTCTTTCATACCACCACATACCTAAGTCCCCATACCACCAGAGACCCACATCCCCATACCACTAGAGACCTACGTCTTTCATACTACCACATACCCACGTCCACATTGCACCAAAGATACACATCCCCATACCACCAGAGACCCACGTCCCCATACCACCACATACCCACATTCCTGTCCCTGTTGTCCCTGATGTTTATGAAGATATAACACGGTACGCGCTCATCTGCCTGCACGAACCTCTGGCACCTTGACCAGTTACCCACCATACTTTACCACATGGGATGGGCTTAAGACCCTTTCAGTTACCCACCATAGTTTACCACATGGGATGGGCTTAAGACCCTTTCAGTTACCCACCATACTTTACCACATGGGATGGGCTTAAGACCCTTTCAGTTACCCACCATAGTTTACCACACTTAAGACCCTTTCAGTTACCCACCATACTTTACAACATGGGATGGGCTTAAGACCTTTTCAGTTACCCACCATAGTTTACCATACATGGGATGGGCTTAAGACCCTTTCAGTTACCCACCATACTGGGATGGGCTTAAGACCCTTTCACCCATTTTACCACAGATGGGCTTAAGACCCTTTCAGTTACCCACCATAGTTTACCACAGGGGATGGGCTTAAGACCCTTTCAGTTACCCACCATACTTTACAACATGGGATGGGCTTAAGACCCTTTCAGTTACCCACCATATGGGCTTAAGACCCTTTACCACATGGGATGGGCTTAAGACCCTTTCAGACCCTTTCCACCATACTTTACCACATGAGATTACCCTTTCCACCATAGTTTACAACATGGAATGGGCTTAAGACCCTTTCAGTTACCCACCATACTTTACAACATGGGATGGGCTTAAGACATATGGGCTTTTTCAGTTACCCACCATAGTTTACCACATGGATGGGCTTACCCTTTCAGTTACCCACCATACTTTACCACAGGGATGGGCTTAAGACCCTTTCAGTTACCCACCATAGTTTACCACATAGGGATGGGCTTAAGACCCTTTCATGGTTACCCACCATACCCACCATACTTTACCACATGGGATGGGCTTAAGACCCTTTCAGTTACCCACCATAGTTTACCACAGGGGATGGGCTTAAGACCCTTTCAGTTACCCACCATACTTTACAACATGGGATGGGCTTAAGACCCTTTCAGTTACCCACCATAGTTTACCACAGGGGATGGGCTTAAGACCCTTTCAGTTACCCACCATAGTTTACCACAGGGGATGGGCTTAAGACCCTTTCAGTTACCCACCATAGTTTACAACATGGGATGGGCTTAAGACCCTTTCAGTTACCCACCATAGTTTACCACAGGGGATGGGCTTAAGACCCTTTCAGGTGCTTTTAAGCACAAATCACTGGAATCTCAATCTACGCACACTGTAACCTGATCCCAAATATGTTTAATTTACTGAACGCGGATCATTTCTTTCACCTAGAACTCGTTCTTCATGTGACAGATGTACTAGATTCAAGTATTCAGTTTAGTTCAAATTTACATTTTTATTGCCAAACACATGATCGTGGGGAGATACACATATCTTTTGTTCATACACAGGTATGAACTATTATATTAAGCTTTTTCCGACTTCCATATTTGTGTGTGACAAAGCAGGCGTCCCGTTTGTGATATGATATCTCAATGTACGTATAATATATTACGTTGCCCGAAGAATCAAATGCCAGTTTAAATCACAGAAAGACATTCTAAGTCAACATTTTACTTCGTGATCACAGACGCATGATGATGTCGAAATTAGTCCCACAAAACCGTTTGTTCTTAGTTGGTACAATGGTACTGGTGGTTGTTGTTTGGTCAACTTATCACATAGGTTCAAACTATCCGGGTTTTCTGCAGCTGGACACAAACGAACACGTACCAACCGTAAGTGAGATGTATCCACAGGCTGTAAGTGCGATGTATCCACAGGCTGTAAGTGCGATGTATCCACAGGCTGTAAGTGCGATGTATCCAAAGGCCGACTGTGATACCTCTGACCGTACCTTGCAATCTTCTGACCACTTGCCACATAATGACTTACTCAATGTCTACAATGTTAGTCCAAACGGAAGTGACATCATTGTCTTTGTGCGAATCCAGAAGACCGGAAGTTCAACATTTGCAATGCATATGGTCGATGACCTCAACCCGACACCGTGGTGTCGATGTGAAGGTAAAGCTAAAGACAAGTGCTCGTGTTATAAAAAGTGGAAATCGAATATTTTGTTCAAACGAAGGCTGCGTGATAAACTCTGCCGAAGCCATGCCGACTGGACCCACTTGCATGCCTGTGTTGAAGATGCGATCAACAAACGACATGGTCGGAAGATCAAACAAAGGTAAGTTGTGAAATGAATCATGAAAACTCTAAGGCTGGCTATCGATATAGATCATAGAGATCGATAATCGATACTAAATATCGATCGATTATCGAAAAATATCGTTGACGCAACTTTGAGCACAAATGCCAAAAATATCTGAAAGAAATGAAAATGTTTCACATCACTGGTGAGTAGTGCCATGTTTTGCATGGATTATCAACAAAACAGTGCCCTGAACATAATTTAGAAGCCAACCATGAATAAAGTTCTAAAACGCATATTGTGTGAGAAAATGAATCAAACCTTTATTCTTTCACAAAAGTTAATGTACGATATTAACGATAACAAAATTTTAAATGTTTTTTTCCTATCAACGATATTTCCGATTATCAATCATTTGAGCCAGCCCTCTAGCTAGAAAACACTTATTTACTTTATCCAGCTTATCTAAGCGCACAGGAGTTTGTGTTCGAACCCAATTTCGGTCTAATGATCATTCCTGGGTCTTCTGTACCAGACGAACAGGTAGCCAAGTGGTTGCAGCACTCCCGGTACCTGAAATACAAATGTATGAAGCACCTTTATGGTGTCTCCAGTCCTCAAATGCTGGGCGACCGCAGCATAAAACTTCACCAGCAAGCTTACTTATGCTAAGCGTTCGCTCGTCACGCCGAAGACCCGGGTTCGATTCCCCACATGGGTACAATGTGTGAAGCCCATTTCTGGTGTCCCCCGCCGTGATATAGCTGGAATATGGTTAAAAGCGGCGTAAAACTGAACTCACTCACTCACTCCATCCATAATTGTACCATCCTTTCTAGGTTTCAAATCGCGACATCCTTCCCGGAATCCTGATTTGCACAATCACCAACGGACTCACAGGTCGCCGGTATGAAATATCTAAATGTGCGCCTCCTGATTGAAAAAACAACAACATTTTAACAAATTTACGTTGTTGTTGAAGATTTTGATTTTCACAAAATGAAACTTCGAAATCACTGTTTGATAAAATTCAGGTTTGTAAGATTCTGTAATTGGAGCTTCATGTCAAAGACACTTTTGCTGTCTGTAGAAGAATATTATTCGTCATAGTGTAAAAGTGAAGATGTGTTTTCAGTAAGGCAATACCTTCGTAACCTTCTCGGAGTAAACTCGGGAGTAGGATGGGGTGTTGTGTATTACGTACTTGCAGCAACCATTATATTTGTTTCTTCTTATTTGAAGTGCAAATATGACATCTTATGTCATTGCAATAAAAGAAACCCGTGAAGATCCGGGTTAGAATTGGTCTTTACTAACCCATGCTTGTCGTAAAGGGCGACTAACGGGATCAGGTGGTCAGATTCACTGACTTGGTTAACACATGTCATCGTATACCAATTGCGTAGATTGCCCATGATGTCAATTGCTGGATTGTCTGGTCCAGACTCGACTATACTATTCACACTTTGCTAAGGATCAAATCATGGATTCAACAGAAACCTATGATGTGGAGTCAAATACGGTTTAAATGTCTAAGCTTATTGTACTCATGGACCCTAGGTTTCAGTATGTCTTTTTATCTTGTGGAACCCATACCTGCTACTGACAGGTGTTGTGTACTTGTCAATGCCTCGTTCCATGATTTGCAAAATGGTTGATTGGTGCCATGAAAACCATTTTTATGGGTACTCATGTATCAAGTGTATAAGGCAAGATTAAAGTGACTGTTTAAAGAGGGGTTACCATATCATTATTTATCCAGCTTTAAATGGATACAGTTTTAAATTCTGAATCTACCTTTAAGTAAAGTTGTGAAGTTTTGTGATCCTTAGCAAAGTGTGAGTTGTATATTTTCAGACCGCCGCTATATAACTGGAATATTGCGGCGGTAAACAATAAACAACATTTCAATGAATATTAAAAGAAGTATTAATCATCATTGTGGAAACAATACACGTGGCTGTAGTAATGGTCAAATCGTGATAAGCTTTGTTACATGTGATTCCCAAGCTGAAACATATCCAGTAGTTGAATCAGTCCGTAACAGAACTCGGTGTGAAACCAACAAAGACAAGGCAGACAGTATTTATACAGTACCAAATTGTGGTATTGTTTAAAAAATCTGGTTTACAAGGAAAAATGTATAATATTCTAAAGTCAATGTATTCTAACATAAAATCGTGTGTACGTTGTGGTAATGATGTAACCGACTTCTTTGATTGTCCCATAGGGTTACGACAGGGCTGTATCTTAAGTCCAATGTTGTTTTCTTTCTTTATAAGTGAACTGTATTACGATATTACAATCTCTGGTAAACACGGCGTTCAAATGTTTCCTGATATGCTTGAAATTTTCATCCTACTTTTTGCTGATGATGTGATCTTGGTGTCCGATACTATTATTGGCTTACAAAATCAACTCAATATCTTAGAACGTTACACAAACGACTGGAAACTCTTTGTTAATTTCGAGAAAACAAATATTGTAATCTTCAGAAGAGGCGGTCCCGTCGCTTCAAAAGAGAAATGGTTTTTCAATGGCAAGTTACTGACTATCGCTAATCACTATACCTACCTTGGTCTTATGTTTTCTCACACGATGAATTTTAAAAAAAGTGTTCTTTATTTGCAATCACGTGCAAAGAAGGCTTTCATAAATGTTATGTCTGTTTCTCAGAATATAGGTGCCTTCACTCCAAACATATTTTTCAAACTATTTGATTCACAAATTCAACCGATTATGCTTTATGGGTCAGAAGTTTGGGGGTTTCAGCGTCAAGAATGTCTTGAGAAACTTCATCTCTTAGCTTGTAAAAGATTTCTAAATGTTGGACAAGCAACGCCAAATTGTATGGTTTATGGGGAATGTGGGAGATTTCCAGTTTATATAAATTCACAAATCAGATGTTTGAAGTATTGGCTTAAGATTCTGGAAATGCATGAACAACGAATACCTAAAATAGCTTATAATATGCTTGTTCATCTTGATAGCATGGGCAAGACAACTTGGGCTTCACATATTAGAAATCTTTTATTTTCCCATGGCTTTGGATTTGCATGGTTAAATCAGACAGCGGGTAATGTAACTCTGTTTCTTAAACGTTTCCGAGAACAGTCAATTAATATGTTCTATCAAGAATGGCATTCGACTCTCGAAAATAGTTCAAGGTATGATCTATATAGGTCCTTTAAGAGCCTTATTCAACCAGAAATATATTTATCTGTATTGACATCAAGAAATATCAGACGCACATTTGTTCAGCTCCGACTAGGTTTATTAGATTTAAGTATTAATAAAGGTAGAAGATTGTCTATAGACAGAAATATGAGAATTTGTCCATTATGCACTTCATCTATTGAAGATGAAATTCATTTTATATTTGTATGTCCATATTATGATGATCTTAGAAGAAAATATATTTCAAGTAATTATCTATCAAAATATCCAACAATAGCCTTTGTCTCAATTCTCACTTCCAGAAATGAAACTGTTATCCGCAACCTTTCTCTATTTGTAAAACATGCTGTTGTCTTGAGAAATGATAGGTTATCTAAGCAATAACCATTATAATTGCCATTGTATTATGTACTGTAATTATGTATATGTATGTAACTCCTTGTATATGGGCCGGAGGCCTTGAATACAATAAACTTGACTTGACTTGACAGTAAAAGGCCCTCGCCCATAATGCAATCAGACTGACATTGTGTTTAGTGGGTGCGCAAAACAACTTTGCAGCTCTATGTGCTGGAGTTTATCAATTTCTGTACATGGTATATGTATAGGCCAGCATTGTATATGACAGCATCATTTTTGCTTTGCAAAAGATTTACGACTGAGTAATGAGTAAGTGGTTCTTTAATAAACTGTGTTATATATTTCTTTCTAAGTCTATCATAGGCATTACAGATAAATAGTACATGATATTCATTTTCTATATAATGCTGGCGTCTGGTTTTACAAAAAGGACATAGCCTTTCGTTATATTCAATTCTATTATACCTGCCACTTTCAACAGCCGTATTAAAATTACTGCATCTAAACCTTGATATAGCAATTCTTAAATGCTTAGGGATATCACAACACAAATATCTTTCAACAATTTAAGAAAGTTTTGAAGGCAATGCGATATGATAAACAACTGAGTTTACAAAGTAATACAAATCACTACAAAGGTATTACAGTGGCAGAACAAACTAAGGCAGGGGTACAAATTCAAATGCAGTATAATACAAAAGCAGTGATTATGGTAATATGGTGATATTCTTCCCACTGCTACAATGGTAAGTTCTCATTTACAAGGGGCGGTGGGGTAGCCTAGTGGTTAAAAGCGTTGGCTCGTCACGCCGAAGACCTGGGTTCGAATCCCAACATGGGTACAATGTGTGAAGCCTATTTCGGGTGTCCCCCGCCGTGATATTGCTGGAATATTGCTAAAAGCGGCGTAAAACCAAACTCAGTCAGTCAGTCAGTCTCATTTACAAAATATATAGGCCCAGGCTAAGTATCCAGAGTAAGAATAACCTCCATACAATTGTTGTATTTATTACATACTAACAGAAAAAAGATAACTGTGCATAATCTAGACCTGCATAAAATACACGTTATTTGAAAAGTTATAAACAAACTCTAAATAAAAATATGTAACAAAGCACTTTGCATGAAATTTGATGGCACGTGCACTTTGTGCGCTATGAACTTTCTCACGTCATGCATGCTATTTGACACCTGAAGTTCACACACCTGATACTGAAAATTGAAGAAAGGTTGATTATTCTCTTGCCTCTGAATGTTGTGGAAAACACGTTATTTTTAACCAAAACTGCGCATACATCATGCCACGGCTTACAGAAAATCAGCGTCTCCGCCGTGTTTGCTCGAGACTGGAATTGCTCAAAACGAAGTGGCCAGACAAGATGGTGTCCATTGAAAAACCATCTCATCTTTATGGAGACGTTTTCAACATTATGGAAGCACGAGCGATTTGCCTCGGAACGGCCGCCCATGCTTGACTTCACGTCAAGACAACCACATTCGGTTGACCCATCTAAGGAATCGATTCCAGACTGCCAGTTTGACTCCTCGGACATTCCTGGCTTACGTCCAATCAGTTCCAGAACTGAACGGAACCGACTGAAGGAGCACAACATCAGGCTCCGACGGCCTGAAATACGTACATTTTTGCTCCAACGTCACCTACAGGCACCTACTGGCCTGGTGCAGATCATCTGTGGTACAGGAGACGAGACTTCATTGACGAAACGAGATTTCATCTGGACAGCTAAGATGGCAAAGCATGGGTGTACAGACGGCGAGGTGAACGGTATGCAGACGTGTGCGTTGTTCAAAGTCGACAGTTTGGTGGCGGGGCGTTATGACATTGGAAGTTATCACATCTCATGGTCGGACACACGGCTTGTCAATGACAATGGCAACCTGACAGGTCTGCGATACAGGGATGAGATCACCGGGCCTCATATCCAGCCGTTCATTCAAGGACAGAGACGTAACTTCACGCTTCAGCAAGATAATGCCCGTCCACATGTCACTCGTGTTGTGACAGATTTCCAGAGACAGCCGAACATTCCGGTACTCTCCTGGTCGGCTGTCTCTCCGGACCTGTACCCTATCGAGCACGCTTGGGATGGCATGGAGCGACGTTTACGTCAAGCCCAGAATCAGCCATTGATGTCAGCTGAATTGGGACAAGCGTTGGTTCAGACATGGAACAACATTCCCCAAGCTTCAATGGCTTAATGTCGTCGTCTATGTGTCGTCGTTGTCAGGCCGACATCAACGCCAATGGTGGACACACACGATAGTGAGTTTGTGAACTAACATTTGACGCCACATCTCTTCAAGGGCGTGTCACGATGCCTAGTGCCAAATCATACAGATTTCGATATTATCCCGCCAACAGTTAAACAGTGATTAAGGAAACACCACAAATCATGTTGTTATCTTTTTGCATTGGAAAATGGCACAATGAAAATGACCAAAAAGTGCACATTTACTTTATTCTTGCAGATGTATACTGAGAGAAACAAATAAAGGAACACAGTAAACTGCAAGCGTTCCTTTAATATTTTCCAGTTTTCATCACCGGCTTTGAATAGCGCTGTGGAAGGAAATCTAAAAATAAATAAATGAACACTGCAATAAAGTCCCTTATTTGTTTCCCTCAGTATATGTCAGAAAAAGACAACGGAAGATGCAGTCAGAATATAGTGGAAGGACACGTAAGGTCGTTAGTAGCCTGCGGTGCCATCAAGAATTATGTCTTGATATAGCATACCACTTCCTCCCTACTGAATGTCAACAGTATTACACTTGGCGCATTGTTTTGCATATTATCTAATAATTAGACTGAGCTGCACAGTTGCATTCACAAACACTGTCTTGGCATCGAAGCATAATTTATACGATGGTTTGAAAAAAGATAACCTGTTTTGTTTCATTTAATGACAATTAACCATTTTTTGCAGACACCTGTACGTTACCATGTTAAGGCACCCCGTCAAGCGTTACATTAGCGAGTGGAAACATGTTTCCCTGGGTGCCAGATGGAATATCCCCCTTCTGTGCAATGGCCGTTCCCCGACCAAAGAGGAACTCATCCGGTGCTTCGAAACTGATTGGAAGAATGTGACACTGCACGAGTTCATGGACTGTCCAACAAATCTTGCTATCAACAGACAGACCCGGATGTTGGCCAACCTGAGCATTGTGGACTGCTACAACACTTCCGCTTCCGGTTGGACTTACGACGAGAGACTGAATCGCATGCTGGCAAGCGCAAAAGAAAATCTTAAGAATATGGCGTTCTTTGGTTTAACTGAATATCAGGAGCTGACACAAATTCTGTTCGAGAATACGTTTAATTTAAAATTTACTACCAATTTCAAGACGTTTCCGTTTAACTATACATCCAATGAATACAACTTAACTGACAGCGATCGCAACAAAATATTCTATATGAACAGATTTGATGTAATACTTTATGAATACGCTAAAGATTTATTTTTTCAAAGATTGAAATACATAGCCTTGGGAAAAAACAGTCCAAACTGAGGCGTATATTGAATGCTCTGTACTGAATGAAGATTTACGTATGTGTTTACGAGTAGTTTACTGACGTTCTAGCGGGACGGAAATGTTCTCATGGCTTTCTTTCAGTAGATGTATGGATGTTCCACACATATATTTATATACATGTACAACAGATCCTACCCGCTCTGACATCGTCAGTAAACTTTTCATTAAACGATACAGTGACGTGGATACATTGTTGGTTTTTTCTTCAATCTAAACGGCTATTTTAAAAATATATATATATTGGCCGAACATTCCTAACGGTATAAGCAAAATAGCCCTTAACTGTAAATCATTAGAATTTTGTTTTGACAACTTCCGTCGAGTCGAAAAATTTGCTGCAAATGGATCGCAATGCTAGCGTAAAGGAACGATGCCGTGTGGTACTACTACTACTACTACTACTGCTACCACTACTACAACTACCACTAACACTACTGCTTCGCCGCGAGTAGCAGGGAAATTCTGATAGGTCGTAAAGCAAATGCTTTAGCTTTGACTCTCTAAGTCGAGGTACAAAGGCCGTGAATGATCAGATTTGATGCCAAATACCGACCCTGCGCAATATAACCGGTTTACCGGTATTTACCGGTTCAGACATGAAAACGATACGTATTGCGATACGCTGATCGAAAACCGGTATTTTGACATGCATTCGGAAAACTTCGTAACACTCGGAAAACTTCGGATATTGCCTTGTTTCATTTGTAGCTAAAATGGTATTTACATTTTTATTTTGTCAGGATTAAAAGTTGTTATTAAAACTTAATCAAACATGATGATTTTGTTTTGTTTTTGCTTTATAAATCAAGCATTAACTCGAGTATAAGTAGTTTTTTGTTGTTGAAAAAACTTCTTGCAATATACTGCAATACATATCGCAATATATGCTTTCGCATCGCAATATATCGCAATATGAAAATTCTCTGCAATACCCACCCCTTCCACATGCATGCATCAAGTTCTAAGATACGTTGAACCACCGTATCTCAAGCTGTCGCTATCGTCCACTGCGCTCTTGCATGAAAACACGCCTGGTTACATGGCAACATCAACTGCAGTGCAAGGTTGTCAGAACACTGAAATAGAATAAAACTTCGTTGATGTAATCTGCTTTATAACGAATACAATCTGGCGTATACCATTACTACTTGATATCAGCTGCTGTTACACAACCCGCAAGCCAATACTGGCCCATCGTCGATTACCGAGGGTGAAATATGGCCATTCTAATGTGATAATACTCACAAAAAAGAGAAACGCATAGGCCAGTTTTTGAAAAACATATTGCGTTAGTTAGTAAGAGCCACTATTTCATGTAATTTATATGATACACGTCTATAGACAAACCAGCAGCCTTTATTGTTGTGTTTCTGTTTACTTGAGTCCATACGAGGGCGTCAAAGTCAGTACTTTGTATGGCAACCATTGACAGCAATTACTAGTCGACACCGTCTCGGCACAGACTGGATAAGTCGACGAAGCCGCGTTTGCAGAATTCTTCCAAACTCTTCCTGCAATGCGATGACCTGTTGTGGAAGTGTGTGAGGTGTGTTTTGACGTTGACATACCAGTCGATCGGATTCATCCCATAGGTGTTCTATCGGGTTTAGATCTTGTAATCGAGAAGGCCATGGCAAGACACTGACGTTAGAATTAGTACGGTAGCGTCATGCTGGAAGAACTCCCTCTGTCGGTCCATAATCGGAAGCATGTGACGTGCAAGGACATCGTTGATGTACCGATTTGCTGTCAAATTCCTGAACCACCACTAAATCAGATCGTTATGTGCTGGATATCTCACCCCACACCATGACACTGGCTCCACCGAATCTGTCGACCTATCGAATACAATTAGGGGCAAAACGTTCATATTTTGATTGGCGGTACTTGGTCGTGGCATGTTGAGTTCCCCTTTTCCAGGCAAAAATGAATGAGAAAATTAAACACAACGTTTGCCTTTTCATGGCGATCGATACCGCATGCTTTTCCGCTTACTTGCACGTGCATGCTGCTTTGAATGTTTTCTTGGTGACGTTTTGGCGAATGTCTTCAAACGCTTTTTAAAGAAGGAAAATGGGTTAAAATCGTCGCATTTACAATCACACAAACATGAAATAGTATATTTGAATTGTTGTGCCGCAGCTACAAGAGTCCAATATTCTCAAAATCACCTATGCGTTTCTATTTATGAAGAGTGTAGAATGTAACCGACAATACTCTGGACACATACACAACAACAGCTTCGTGTTGAAAGTGACGTAACGACACTTTTTAGCACCTTTCTATGGCACATAGAACGTGTGGGGTAGCCTAGAGGTTAAAGCGTTCGACAACACAGCACCAGCCAAACTTGCCATGCTGTATTCCACCGGAAGCTCCAGCACAGGGCCGGGTCAGTGTAAAATCTGACTTGTGCAAAAGTAGTATTGCAATGCGGAAAGGATTTGGAATGCGGAATCGGATTCAAATTACAATTTAATTATAACCCACCAAACCCGCTCAGTCGTAACGTGTTGTTCCAGGCGTTGTCGCACCTCCAGCCGGCGGGCAGTTGTCATCCACGACTGCTATCTTCATCGACGCTGGCCCAGCTGTTTGCGATCCCGCAGATTCGCACTTCACCAGTAACCCGTCAGAGTGTTCGACCTTCACCCGGGAAGTAGGTGGCGCTGTGCGCGAGTACAGATGCGCAGCAGGCATGGTCTACAACGCTGACATCAGTATGTGTGACTGGCCGGGTAATAGTCCTACATGTCAAGGTGGGTGTTGTAGATCAATACGTTGTCACTTCACTTACTTGAAGACCCGTGAAGATCAAGGTCAGAATTGGTCTTCAGTAACCCATGCAATGTTGTAAGAGGCGATTAATGGGATCGGGTGTTCAGTGAGTGAGTGAGCTATATGGCTGCGGTCTGTAATCGAGTCTGGACCAGACAATCCAGTGATCAACAGCATGAGCATCGATCTGCGCAATTAGGAACCGATGACATGTGTCAACCAAGTCAGCGAGCCTGACCACCCGATTCCGTTAGTCGCCAAGTATAGTCGCCTTTTGTGGCAAGCATGGGTTGCTGAAGACCTATTTTTCCCCGGATCTTCACGGGTCTCGGGTGGTCAGGCTCGCTGACTTGGTTGATGCTCTTATCCCTGTTGCGTAAGCCGATGATCACAATATCAATCACTTGATAGTCTCGGGTGGACTTAGCGACTGTTCCCTTTGGGACAAATATACAAGCCAACGACCTTAAACGATCTGCATGTGTAATATATGCTATAATATTCTACAAAGTAAGATTTAACCAGGATCCCAATTGTACACTCAAAGTATACCTTGATTTAAGAGTGGACCCAACAATTACAAAAGATAACGTCACTGGAGTGAAAACAGTTGCCGAATCACTGCAAACCAAATGTACAAATTACGTTCTGTGATACCCGTATCAAGCACACCACCTCAAATAACCGTTTCTTGTTTGTGATTGTATAGGTATATTTGTCCGGCAGTTTAACTGAATCAGATCATCCCAAACCCACGTGGTTCAAGTTATATTTCTTTTGATCATTCTCATTTTGGAATACCTTTCTTTACGTAGAACTAATGTCTAAATTTGCCACGGATGCTTAGTGCCATTTCACGCCCACATTAACAAATCAGTATTCAGAATGGCACCAGACCAAGCATCCTCGGCTTAATCTAATGGGCACTCGTCTACATGTTGAAGTAGCTGTTTCAACAAAGATGGTCGCCTAGATCTCAAATTTACATAAGTTTTAAAGTAACACTTCCTTCAAAGGAGCTGATATACCATTAGGAGCCAGATTTCCTTGGTTTGAATCCCATATTCGACATGTTTGCAGACCTGGATGGCATGGTAGCGCTACGAATGGGATGAGAGCGCCAAGAACCGGAACTGGTTCCTCTTTAAGACAGTGACCACCGTCAACGCTCCTACTTCATTCCGTTATGCGTCCGGGTTAGAATTGGTTTTCAGCAACCCATGCTTGTCGTGAGAGACGACTAACGGGATCGGGTGGTCAGGCTCCCTGACCTACATTTCATCGTATCCCACTTTCGTTGAAAAAATGAATGAATGATATACTCATGCCAATAATGGTTGTCACCTCCTTCAATTTTTTTGGGAGAGGGGTGGGTGTGGGGTGGGGTTGGGGTGGGAAGGGGGTGACAACCATTATTGGCATGAGTATATGACCGAGGTGTGTGGATCATAATGTGGCTCTCACGGTGATGATTCGTTGGGTCGTTTTTCATTATGACATCCACATTGCTCACGCCTTAAAAACATTGCTTTGTGTTTCAGTTCCTTCTGAAAATCCCCCGCTGTACGGCGCCGACCCCACTGGTATGTATTGCAAGCCTGATTAGTGAAAACCGAAAACTTTAGCTCATCCTTTGATATTGACAAATATAAAATCGGAGGATCAGGAACTATAAGTTTCAGATTCTGCAATGTTTGCACCTTGTGTTTACATCAACAAGGCTCAGCAACATGACATCGTGGTATATACACGTGAGCAATCCCAATTAGCTGGAACAGTTTGTTAAATCTCGATAAATAGTTTATTCCTGCATCCTGAAATATTTTGTATGAAATCTGTACAAGTCAGCCTGAATCAATTCCTTTTTGTGTTGACCTAGATTTGTGTGTGTAATTATACGGAAAGGTGTGATATCAATCACTGGATTGTTTGATTCACCTTTGCATGGGCCGTCATAAAGCTGGAATGTTGATGGATGTGACGTTAAATAGACAAAGTTTGTTTATCGATGAGAAACAGCGCTGTTGTCGTACAACAGGCAACTGTGATGTATGACTAAATACACGTTCCGTTGTGTTGAACTTTTAAAGTACTCTCAAAGTAAAAGTATGCTCCCTGCGTAGTCTTTCTTTTACCACTGATTTCGGTTGTACCGAACCTCGGATCACTCGAATAATTTAATTAAGTCCCGTCATGTTCGACATAACTGTCACACACAACAAACGACTCGATTCACGCATAACTTGAAACAAGTAACACCTTGTACAAATTAGGACGTGGACTTGTTGATATCCATAGAACTCTCCTCGTTCTTCAAGGACCTGGAGCCACTATGATTTGTCCTCGAATATCTCTAACAACAATGTGGATCCGTAAAGCAATACTATTTCCCTCTATTTTGTCTTGATCCTGCATCTCACAGGCAACATTATTTTACAGAATGCCTCATGACGTGTCCTCAAACAAATGATGCCGTGTACCCCCTGTTTACCGCCACCCAGGTCAGATGTGGCGAGTACTACGTCTGTCAAGGTGGACAACTCTTCATCGGAAATTGTTCCGATATTGGCACTGGAGAGTTCCCGTTCTTCGATTCCACAACGAGGTCCTGCGTGAGCCAATTGGAGACGATTAATATCAACTGTCCTCCGGGCTCGGCCTAGTAATGACGTGTCTCACTTCGGATTGTCTTCAACAGTCAACTTTCTTCCTTGAATTCATGTTTACTTTAAATTTGAAACAAAATCGTATATATTTGATGAATATTTTAATCTAACAATACCTCCTTGAAATCTGAAAAATGAGCTGGTGATAACAAATCAGAAGATTAAAATGTTGTATATTTTCCTGACCGCGAGAACGGTTATGAGTTTCTGGAAGAAACCTCTGGAATACTTTCATCCAATAAAAAGGAAATGTGTTAGCCTTTTTCCTTGTTTTCTTTTGCACCAAATACACTATAGAAGCTTATTATCCCCGTTCCTGTATATAGTTGTATATGTCATCATGTCTTGTCGTCTCTCCCTGACTGTTTATATGAGAGGTGATTGCTGAACTATTGCTCGACTATTGCTGAACTATTGCTTGACTATTGTTCGACTTCTCCTTGACTATTGCTCGACGTTTGCTTGACTATTGCTCGACTATTGCTCGACTTTTGCTTGACTATTGCTCGACTATTGCTCGACTATTGCTCGACTATTGCTCGACTTTTGTTCGACTATTGCTCGACTATTGCTCGACTTTTGTTCGACTATTGCTCGACTATTGCTCGACTTTTGCTCGACTATTGCTCGACTATTGCTCGACTTTTGCTCGACTTTTGCTCGACTATTGCTCGACTTTTGCTCGACTATTGCTCGACTTTTGCTAGACTTTTGCTCGACTATTGCTGACATGTTTGTAAAACCATAAGGTTTAGCCAGGTAACATGTACATACCATCCGATCCTTACTAAGTCGTTTCTTCCAAATACTGGGATCCTACTGTGAGGAGACTATACAGTAGGGTGTCAACGTGGATCCACCCGTGAAGGTCCGGGTTAGAACTGGTCTTCAGTAACCCATGCTTGTCGTAAGAGGCGACTAACGGGATCAGGTGGACAGGCTTGGTTGACACGTGCCATCGTATCCCATTTGCGTAGATCGATGCTCATGATGTTGATCACTGGATTGTCTTGTCCAGACTCGATTATTTACAGACCGCCGTCACATAGCTGAAATATTGCCGAATATGGCTTTAAACAACAAGGAAGCAACGTGCACCTCTGAAAACATCTTTGTGATACGGTAAAGAGATGCGTTGTCTACACAACGAACTTGGATACATCACTCTCGTCAATAACTGGCTCAGATAATGGCTTGATGAACCACAAACACATATATAGATATCCTTAACGTCTTCACAATTGACAATTCTTCATGAAACTGTTACACATGAAGTCTATCACCGACACACACACAAGGTGAGGTAAGGTGAAATTGGGTTTAACGTCGTGCTTGAGAATATTTCGCTCATATGACGACGTGCATGCGTGTGTATGTGTATGTGCGGCTGCTTGTACTAGCCCAGACTGAAGCTGGTTGTAGAGTGCTAACCCACTGAGATACCGTGCCACAGTGAAGCATGAATACCCCACTCAGACACATTATATTGTGTGCCTGTGTGTGCGTGTGTGTGTCTGTCTGTCTATCTGTCTGTCTGGGTAACGAGTTATTTTTTAAATTATCTATTTTAATAATGCATATTATGTAGTTTTTTCTGCAGCACCTTTGCACCATTGGATTATTTATCCATCGTATATAACTAGTAAGAATTATATTAACATTTATCATAAACATATGATAATAAATAATCGTATTGTAAATCCTTAATTTTATCCTTTCTGGTCACAAAAGAATAGCGTTTCATTATTGCACGAATACGCTGACCGAGCTCACTGAGTAGTGGTATTTGGGTCCGTTGGGGATCAATTTTTAGCTCCCCGTATGCGTTAATACGTTATGGAGAGTTCGATATTCACGTAAATTTTGATAATATATAGACAAGAAATCAGGACTTTTGAAACAGTTCGTTGTGTCCGTTTGTTCGCTATATCTAAGTTGGATATGTCCGCTTGCTTATGTTATAAGCATGAATTAATGTAGTAAGGATAGGCCGGTGTCAGTTCAAACTCTTCTAGATTTGAAATATACAGAATATATAATGTTGCTTTGTTTTGTATCCTGCCACATGCCTGCACTAACGTTCGAGGAGTGTTAGTATTCCTTATAGCAAACAAACATACATGTTTTTGTCGGCACAGTCTTTGTTTTGTTTAACAAAACCAACCTGTTCAGATATAACGACCCACAAGCCGGTCTCTCAAAGAAGTGACCCACAAGCCGGTTGAGGTGGTGTTTGTTATTCCAAGACCGCTCCTTGTGAACCGCCCATCGGTGGGCGTGTCCATGTAAGACACGCCCCTCGCTAGTACAAACCCGTCTTATTTATAACGAAAATGCCTTTCTTTGGTAGATCATCACCTCGAGATAACGTATCGCTATAATGAAGTCCTCACTTGTTATTTTCACAGTTTTGGGTGAGTCTTTTGTTTTGTACTAGCGTAGGTAGCTTATCGCTTATTCTAGCATGTGACAAATTATCAAACAAGTTCCTTGATCACTAATTAAACAGATTTTGCAATAGTTGTCTTACTATGACAATTAGTGATAAAGTGTCTGCTTTATATATGTATGAATGTATGTTTTAATCGTAGGACTAGTGGGATGAGATGAAAAGGGTTTTAGCGTCGATTTCAGTAGTATTGTTCTCAAAGAACCACGTGCATTGCAAGTATGCGTGTGTGTGTGCGTGCGTGTGTGTGTTTGTTTGTGTATGTATGGACAACTACCAGTTTTAAAGTGCCAGTGCTAATGCCACACATTATACCATGTCGCAGGTTACCATGGATACTTCATCACCATCAGAACACAATACACTGACTCCAATATTAGGTACATCGTTCGAATTAAAACGGGGTTTCAGGAGAACAATATATTATAAATTCAGTATTGTGAACACTAGAGAGCGATGCAATTGGGTCACTTAGAAGAATCTTTGTGTTAAAATATACTGATGTCTCCATGGGCTGTCCAAGATGGCCATTTGAGGACAAGCGGGCCATCCGTGCTTGCAGCTATATAGAAGATGCTGGATAATGACCAACAAAATTATTAGGTATCCCGACGTTGTCAACACCATACTCGTGAGATGTGCACCCCTGTTCCTCATCCAGCGGACAGACTTAGTCAAACTGGCGTTGAACCCTGCTCTGTCCGTCAGAACAGTGAGTGAGTTGAATTTTACGCCGCGTTTAACAATGTCAGGCTGGGAACACCAGAAATGTGCTTCACACATTGTACCAATGTGGAGACTCGAACCCGGGTCATCGGCGTGACGAGCGAACGCTTTAACCACTTGGCTACCCCACCGCCCCTCCCTCAGAACAGAACGATAGGGATATGGTAACCAGTTATATTCAAGGTTAAACAGCGGGTTAACTTTTCACCATGTTGTTACTGGTGTGTCTACGTCACCTACAGACACTAAGCATCATACTGATATATGACTCAATATCCACATTATCTGTCTAGAGTATTTAAAGAAAGAGTCAATGAAAGCCGTTTATTAAGAAAAACACAAAAAAGTGGTTTGTCTTTGGACACCACATTATTGTGCAGCAGCACCCCTTCACCCCACCCCACAGTTTGTTTTACACACTGAGTGAGTGAGTGAGTTTGGTTTCACGCCACTTTTAGCAATATTCCAGCAATATCTCAGCGGGGGACACCAGAAATGGGCTTCACACATTGTAGATGTGGGGAATCGAATCCGGGACGTCGGCGTAACGAGCGAACGCTTTTACCACTAGGCTACCCCACCGCCCCTTGACACATTGATCCTGCATGCGGAATCGAACCCGAAACTTCAGCGTGAAAGGGCTGTAACTATATTGATCTTACCCACTTCCTGACTTTTAATAATCGCCGATCGTGAAGCAATGTCTCCCGTAATGTACACAACCGTGTTTGATGCACTGTTCAAGTGCGTTACGTCCTCTTGCGTAATTGGTTTGTAGTTTTATGCCGCACTAACAATATTCCAGCTCATGAAGGCGGTCTGTAAATAATCGACTCTGGACCAAACATTACAGTGATCAACAGCATTAGCATTTCTACACAAATGGGTTACGATGACGTGTCAACCAAGTCAGCGATCCTGATCACCCGATCCCGTTAGTCGCATTTTACGACAAGCATGGGTGGATGAAGATCGATTCTAACCCGGATCTTCACGGGTACCTTTGGCTTGAAGATAAAACGTTGTCTTAATGTAACATGCAATTCCTGATATGTTTATTTCAGTTGGGTGTTTCGTCCCTGCCATACGTGCCCAGGTAGAGGGAGACGCCTGTGTCGAGAGCAGCACCATCTACAGGCCATCACCGGTCGCCGGCGAATGCTCCGATAACTTCCGATGTCTCCGGAATGCGTGGGTCAGGTACCACTGTGCCCTGGGCCTCGTCTTCAACCCAGACACTCAGCTTTGTGTGTTCCCGGAAGACAGCCCATCATGCAGCAGTAAGTCTGCCGTCAAACTATCGGGTCTACTCTGGCCCAAACGGATCAACTCGGGTTCTTTCGGATTCACTCGGGTTAACGTTGACCGGAAGACCATCCGGCTTCGGTCCGTTCTATTGATAATCTAAAAGCAAACAGACGAATGCAAAGGTTCTCTGAAACAACTGGAGCCATAAACATTTATTAATTAGGAGATACACATAAGGTGCTGGAAAATCAGAGGCATATAACTAAATTATAATAACGCGTAGCGTCTTAAGAAACAAAATTAAAGCTTTTATACTATCGTTATATACCCCTGATTTTTCAACACAGTATGTTTATCTCCAGTCTACCATAACTACATTATTAAGATTTTAAAAACTACACAGTATTTAGGAAAAACAGATGTATATCACGTGATTATATTCCTCAGAATGATTTATCCAATCACATTCCAGTATTTACTGCAGAGGCCCAGATAAGCTGCGTATCCGGGTAAAATACGCATGGAAAATTTCAAATTACGCATTGAAAAATAATTGTTGCGTACCAGTTACGCATTTAAAATGTTAGATACGCAAAATGTTTGAAACAAATGCGTACGGAATATATTTATAAAAAACACTTGCGTAATGAAAAAGACATCGGTTGCTATCAAGTTGTACTGTTAGTATAGGCCTAGTGTTGTACTGTCAGTATAGGAGGAGGGATTTTTTTATGAAATCATTTCCATTATATTTAAGTTGGTTTTGATTAGGTATGACATAAGGCAGGACATACCTGCTTAGTAAACTTACTCAATGACATAATACTTACGCGAGTAAAATGACTGAAATACGCACATATTTGAAAGCAGTGGGTAACGGAAAATGAAATACCCACTCAACATTCATAATCCCCACTCCAAAAAAATACAGTGGGTACAGTACCCACATAAGCTAAATCTTATCTGGAGCTCTGAATTTACTGATGTCATGGTAGAATGGGGAATAGCATTCCGAAGTTCACAACTATGCTAAGGATCAAATCATGGATTCAACAGAAAACTAATATGTTGGGTCAAATTTGGTTTAAATACCTAAGCTTATGTTAAGCATGGGTCCTAGGTTTCAGTATGTCACTGCATCTTGTGGATCCCATACCTGCTATTGACAGGTGTTGTGTATTTGTCAATGACTCGTTCCATGATTTGCAAAATGGTTGATTGGTGCCATGAAAACCATTTATATTGTTACTCATGTTTCAAGTGCATAATGTTAGGTTAAAGTTACTATTTGCCTAATGGGAGGTTACCATATTATTATTTATCCAGTTTTAAATGGATACAATTTCAAATTATAAATCTACGTTTAAGTGAAGATTTTTTGTGATCCTTAGCAAAGTGTGAGTAGTATAATTATGTGGATTATTAACGCTAGATGTAGAGTAACCATGTGTGTTTATAGGCAAGCCCATACATATGCGAGCCTCTATTCAGACCTCTTGTACAGAACTGTCCGTTCTTTGGTTGTTAAAAGTATTTCCCATTTAATTATTATCTCTTCCACGTTTTACTGAATAATATATCGGATCGATAACACTGACATTATATAAACAGTGTTACACGACTGGTCTTTGATGGTTCTCGTCAGCTGTTGACAGGTCATGAGTCGCAGATTTTACTTGTTCGTCTTCCAGATCCCAGTCCTGCCAATTTCGCCAATTTCCTGACCACGGTTGACCAGTCGTCGGGTAAGTCTAGATCACTGAATTAGATCCATGCCTGTTTATCAAGTGAGTGTGTCCAATCAGGTGGAGTTTGACTCCCTGAATAAGGCCTGAGTGGGTGGTGAGGAATATCAAACTACTTCAAGCTGTAACAGGTAATAAACGTTTACCAGGGTTGGATCAACCGTGCATAGGTATAGTGTGGGCGGGTTAAGGGTTAAGAATAATAATCAGGGCAAATCGGGGATTCAAACCCATGACCAGCTGATCTTGGTACTGATAAGGGACGCAACTCTACGATGAATTATTTTACGAACTCAACATTAAGACTAGGGGGTGGGTATTGCAGAGAATTTTCACATAGCGATATATTGCGAGGCGAAAGCATGTATTGCGATATGTATTGCAATATATTGCATGAAGTATTTTTAAACAAAAAACTACTTATAATCGAGGTAATGCTTGATTTATAGAGCAAATACACAGCAAAATCACTATGCTTGATTAAGCTTTAATAACAACTTTTAGTCATGATTAAAAATAAAAATGTGAATTATATTTGGCACAAATGAAAAAAGGAAATATCCGAAGATTTCCGAGTGTTACGAAGTTTTCCGAATGCAAGTCAAAATACCGGTTTTCGATCAGCGTATCGCAATACGTATCGTACGGTAAACACCGGTAAACCGGTTATATTGCGCAGCCCTAATTAAGACCCATGTTGAAAGTGATACTGTCATATAATCTGGGGTGAACAAGTTAGTTAATATTCCACTTTCGGTGAATCATCAGTCATATCTTTACGGGAACATTTTGAACCCTTGGTGGATATCGAGCCCGGGACTTATAGCCCATAAAGAGGCTAATCCGTCATTTGAATAAAGACTTTGAGTGAGTCATCCCTCATGGCCTTCACCAATGTATGGACACTGTCTGAACTACTGTTTCTAACGTATCAGTGTATCACCAGTTTAACACGTTACGGTAATTCGATGTAGGATAGTTCCGTGATTTCTTTTTTCGATGTCGGAAAGCTATTTCAACTGCGTGAATAAAGAGCAAATTTAAGTGAGTGAGTGAGTGAGTGAGTGAACTTAGTTTTACGCCGCTTTTAGCGATATTCCAGCAATATCACGGCGGGTACACCAGAAATGGGTTTCACACATTGTACCCATGTAGGGAATCGAACCCGGGTCTTCGGCGTGACGAGCGAACGCTTACACCACTAGGCTAACGCTACCCCACCGCCCCAGCAGTTGTAAGATACACCATACTCTTCCTGTTTCAGGACCCGTGAAGATCCGGGGTAAAATAGGTCTTCAGCAACCCATGCTTGCCACAAAAGGCGACTTTGCTTGTCGTAAGAGGCGACTAACAGGATCGGGTGGTCAGGCTCGCTGACTTGGTTGACCCATGTCATCTGTTCCCGATTGCGCAGATCGATGCTCATGCTGTTGATCACTGGATTGCCTGGTCCAGACTCGATTATTTACAGACCGCCGCCATATAGCTGGAATATTGCTGAGTGCGGCGTAAAACTAAACACACTCACTCACTTTCTGTTTCAGCGTGTACGTTGCCGTGTGCCGCCCACGTCGATGCCGTCTACCCCAAGCTGTTAACGAATCCCACTGACTGTAACGGCTTCTACATGTGTCGCGGGGGCCGCCTGTACGAAGGAAACTGCTCCTCCTTGGGCGACGGCTTCAGCGTGTACGACACCTTCTCCAGAAGCTGCTTTTCAGAAGTGGACGAGTTCAACTTTAACTGTGCAGCGTATGTGTGGTATTATTTGTTAATCGTGTTTGATAGAGCAAGATTCTTCTTTAGGCGACACCTCTGTTAATTAGCACCGGACCAATGGCACTGTCAATAGTACAGCGCGCCTCCCAGGTACAGTGAGTGAGTGAGTGAGTGAGTTTAGCTTTACGCCGCACTCAGCAACATTCCAGCTATATGGAGGCGGTTTGTAAATTATCGAATCTGGACCAGACAACCCAGTGATCAACAGCATGAGCATTCATCTACGCAACTGGGAACCGATGACATGTGTCAACGAAGTCAGCAAGCCTGACCACCCGATCCCGTTAGTCACCGCTTACGACAAGCATGGGTTACTGAAGATCAATAATTATTCTAACCCGGATCTTCACGGGTACCTCCCGGGTATAACGGCACCTCGGATAAGAGAGTGAGAGTTTAGTTTTACGCCGCTTTGGGAAATTGTCCTACACCAGAAATGGGCGTCACACATTGTAACCATGTGAGGAATCGAACCCAGGTCTTTGGCGTGACGAGCGAACGCTTTAACCACCAGAGCCCGGGATGGTGGGCTGTCACACTTTATCAATAGAACTATTTAATATATATAGTCAAGCTGCTCGTTTCGTGTAGATATTCATACAGTCAGTACTTTTATTTACTTTGCTTCACTTCTATTTACCATGTCATGTAAATGGCGTTTGTTGTCTCCAGTGGTGTGAAGTAACACACATTCTGTGCAGTATAAAATATAGTTTAGCATCCTTTGTTCCACCAACCGATTTATCCATAGTTCGAGATGACCGACGGACCGAAGCCGGATGATCTTCCGGTCAACGTTAACCCGAGTGAATCCGAAAGAACCCGAGCTGATCCGTTTTGACCCGAGTAGACCCGATTTGATGAACGTGTGGATAGTTTGACGACTTTCTCATGTGGAAGATCATGGGTCCAGGTTACCGGCGTTATTCTCTGTGATAAGAATGCACTGTTACTGTTTCTTAAATCAGTATTGGTTTTGACGTATTTCGTCATTTTATATGTGTTTCCTTGTTATAGGTCTCAGTCACGCTAAGATGTCGATGCTGCTGACGGAGACATCCAAAGACGTCATCGTTGATGAGACAGTATCACGACATCTCCGTCACGACTACTATGTAAGATGTGAGAATAAAGATAATGTTAAATGTTGATACCCTGTGTGTTGTCGTATGTTTTAAACTAACGCTTGAATGAGAGAGAGAGTGAGTTTAGTTTTACGCCGCACTCAGTAATATTCCAGCTGTATGGCGGCGGTCCGTAAAGAATCGAGTCTGGACCACACAACCCAGTGATCCAGACCATGATCATCGATCTTCACAATTGGGATGACATGTGTCAACCAAGTCAGCGAGACTGACCACCCGATCCCGTTAGTCTTCTCATACGTCAGGCATTCTATTCCGGATCTTCACGGGTCATAGCAGCAGCTTACGACTAGCATTTTGAATGAGAGAGTTGGGATTAACACTGCATTAACATTGTGGAATGAAGGCACGACGTGATGCACGTCTTAGACGTTTATTATCTTGATGAAATAACGAGCACCGGTTCTGGTGCAGACAAACCTTGAAACATAATCGGGACGAATCGGGATTCGAACCCAAGATCATCGGTTTTCCAATGGCCGCAACTGTGCAGAATTAATCATTGAGCGGGTGAATCATGCTGCCATTGCAATGAAACAGCTAAATGTGATCGCGTCTGACCCAATGAATTCTGAGATCGACAGTATGAATATTTCACACCACATTGGTTGCCATAGTGATACGCGAGGGATGCTTCCCCGGTGGTCACGAATCCTTGTATTCAAGGGGCAGTGGGATAGCCCAGTGGTTAAAGCGCCCGCTCGTCACGTCCAAGAGCCGGGTAAAATTCCCTACATGGGTACAATGTGTGAAGTCCATTCCTGGTGTCCCCTGCCGTGATATTGCCGGAATATTGCTAAAAGCGGCGTAAAACCATCACTCCTTGTATTCCTAATTCTCAATTGGGATAACAACTATATTTACAAATCATTACAATACACGATAAAGTGGCAGAACAATTACGACTGTATATAGTACAATAGATAGACAATAGTGAATGAGTGAGTGTGTTTAGTTTTAAGACGCACTCAGCATTATTCAGCTATATGGCTTGCGGTCTGTAAATAATCGAGTCTGGACCACACAACCCAGTGATCAAGACCATGATCATCGATCTTCACAATTGGGATGATGTGTGTCAACCAAGTCAGCGAGTCTGTCCACCTGATCCCGTTATTCGCCTTATACGACAAGCATGGGTTGCTGAAGGTCAATTTTAACCCGGATCTTCATCGGTGAGACAGACAATACATACAAGACAGGCACTGATAATAAAGTTCACTGTCTACTGTGTTCCTTCTGAATCGTCAGTATTTCATAGATTTTGTATACGCAGCATTCCACGATCACCCTTCAGCTAACCCGGTCGATTTACAGTGTAATAGCGAGGTGCGCCTGTTTCATTGGCTACAGAATGAGATGGCGTTTAACCCACGGAGTCAGAGTTGGTCCGAACCCCACTACTGAATGAATCAGATGTAATGTGTAGAACAGATCACTGTGGTTGTGCAACGAGAAATATTACCGCCTGTAGGATGTAAACTGATCGCTTATTGGTCTGATCATTCACTGGTTTCTCTGGGATGTAAACTGATCGCTTATTGGTCTGATCATTCACTGGTTTCTCTGGGATGTAAACTGATCGCTTATTGGTCTGATCATTCACTGGTTTCTCTGGGATGTAAACTGATCGCTTATTGGTCTGATCATTCACTGGTTTCTCTGGGATGTAAACTGATCGCTTATTGGTCTGATCATTCACTGGTTTCTCTTGGATGTAAACTGATCGCTTATTGGTCTGATCATTCACTGGTTTCTCTTATTGGATGATAAACTGATCGCTTATTGGTCTGATCATTCACTGGTTTCTCTGGGATGTAAACTGATCGCTTATTGGTCTGATCATTCACTGGTTTCTCTTGGATGTAAACTGATCGCTTATTGGTCTGATCATTCACTGGTTTCTCTTGGATGTAAACTGATCGCTTATTGGTCTGATCATTCACTGGTTTCTCTTGGATGTAAACTGATCGCTTATTGGTCTGATCATTCACTGGTTTCTCTTGGATGTAAACTGATCGCTTATTGGTCTGATCATTCACTGGTTTCTCTGGGATGTAAACTGATCGCTTATTGGTCTGATCATTCACTGGTTTCTCTTGGATGTAAACTGATCGCTTATTGGTCTGATCATTCACTGGTTTCTCTGGGATGTAAACTGATCGCTTATTGGTCTGATCATTCACTGGTTTCTCTTGGATGTAAACTGATCGCTTATTGGTCTGATCATTCACTGGTGTCTCTGGAATGTAAACTGATCGCTTATTGGTCTGATCATTCACTGGTTTCTCTTGGATGTAAACTGATCGCTTATTGGTCTGATCATTCACTGGTTTCTCTGGGATGTAAACTGATCGCTTATTGGTCTGATCATTCACTGGTTTCTCTGATTGTTGACCCCAGTCATGAGTAAATCCTTGGTTCCATAATGCGGCTGTACACACTCCAAGTAGGTTACGCAGGTAGCTTGGGCAAGCGGGTTCATAGTTCACGTTGCTGTGCAGTCTTTTAAATTCTCCATGACGATTCCCAAAGTCAGTCAATGTCTTACCCCTCACATCTATACGCAGATGATTTCAGATGAAACCGACGAGCAACAAAGAAATGTAACACAGTTAATAATTTTATTACACCAGAAATAGGCTTCACACATTGTACCCATCTGGGGAATCAAACCCAGTATTGATGACCAACTAGGAAATGTTATTGTGTGCGAAATTAGTTGGTAATTACTCCCAATTGTACAATACAACTTTCTTTTGTGATCTGTCGACAGATTGCTTTAAGCAATACTGGATGTAACAGTCACTAGTCTAGAGGAATAGACTTTGTAAGATGGGAGATTGAAAGGATCGGATTCCTGTGTAGAGGTACAGGAATTCTCTTAACTGTAAGTTCTTAACTGTAGATGTGAAACCGGAAGTCGGCAACGCTAGACTCGAAACTGGCTATAGCCATTGATTGGTTAATTGCTTGATGCGATTGGTTGTGTGGCTGACCTTGTATGTCCTTGGTCCGGGCGCAATGGCGTCGTGACTGGGATATTGTTGAAAACTTTCCCGTTCCAGGTCCTAGCTGACAATCGCCAACAATGTTTAAATCAAGGTATGCGTAAATATGCCAGATGTATTGCGATATATAGAATAAATAGACGTCTATCGAGAAACGAAAGATGGTTTAATAAAGTTGCCCCCCCATCCGTGTTTTTTCAAGATATTTAACACCCAATTGTATTATACGACTCTGAGGTGTAAGGTATAAACAGATTTGACAAGATTGAAACTGTTCATATATGTTCACAAGAGGAAGTGTGTAGAATTAGGTTGCATGTAGCGTCAACGTACTTGACACAGGTATCCGCAGTTGTTCCAGGGCAGACACACTCTTGTACAGTTTACTGGATACTGACATCGGGTTATTGCAACGCTTATTGCAATCCACGTTTTGAGGCGAAATAGAATTACTAAAGAAATGCGTGCACGCACAAGTCAACCAATGACTTTCCATTGGCGTCTGTTTTACCATCCTTGTCTACAATATATCTACCGACTGCCTGCACCACCTCGATGAATGTTTCAGAGGACGTTATCATGATGTTAAGCTGCTGAGGTGACTGTTAATCTTCCAACGCCTCACATGCTTCAATCAATATACCCTTGTAGGGAATAGAACCGGTGCCTTCGGAGTGACGAGCTAGCGCATTAACCACTGGGCTACACCCACCACCATACTTATAATAGAGAGATACTAGGCCTATATCTCAACAAAAAAGTCTGGCGAGTTGTCAGCCCAGAGGATAAAGTGTAAAGCCAATGTCTCGTTAGCCCAGTGGATAAGGTGTAAAGCCAATGTCTCGTTAGCCCAGTGGATAAAGTGTAAAGCCAATGTCTCGTTAGCCCAGTGGATAAAGTGTAAAGCCAATGTCTCGTTAGCCCAGTAGATAAAGTGTAAAGCCAATGTCTCGTTAGCCCAGTGGATAAAGTGTAAAGCCAATGTCTCGTTAGCCCAGTGGATAAAGTGTAAAGCCAATGTCTCGTTAGCCCAGTGGATAAAGTGTAAAGTGTAAAGCCAATGTCTCGTTAGCCCAGTGGATAAAGTGTAAAGCCAATGTCGTCGTTAGCCCAGTGTTAGCCCAGTGGATAAAGTAAAGATAAAGTGTAAAGCCAATGTCTCGTTAGCCCAGTGGATAAAGTGTAAAGCCAATGTCTCGTTAGCCCAGTGGATAAAGTGTAAAGCCAATGTCTAAAGCGTAAAGCCAATGTGCCAATGTCTCGTTAGCCCAGTATCTCGTTAGCCCAGTGGATAGATAAAGTGTAAAGTGTAAAGCCAATGTCTCGTTAGCCCAGTGGATAAAGTGTAAAGCCAATGTCTCGTTAGCCCAGTGGATAAAGTGTAAAGCCAATGTCCTCGTTAGCCCAGTGGATAAAGTGTAAAGCCAATGTCCTTGCCGTTAGCCCAGTGGATAAAAAGTGCCCAGTAAAAAGTGTAAAGCCAATAAGCCCAGTGGATAAAGTGTAAAGCCAATGTCTCGTTAGCCCAGTGGATAAAGTGTAAAGCCAATGTCTCGTTAGCCCAGTGGATAAAGTGTAAAGCCAATGTCTCGTTAGCCCAGTGGATAAAGTGTAAAGCCAATGTCTCGTTAGCCCAGTGGATAATAAAGTGTAAAGCCAATGTCTCGTTAGCCCAGTGGATAAAGTGTAAAGCCAATAAAGTCTCGTTAGCCCAGTGGATAAAGTGTAAAGCCAATGTCTCGTTAGCCCAGTGGATAAAGTGTAAAGCCAATGTCTCGTTAGCCCAGTGGATAAAGTGTAAAGCCAATGTCTCGTTAGCCCAGTGGATAAAGTGTAAAGCCAATGTCTCGTTAGCCCAGTGGATAGCGTGTAAAAGCCAATGTCTCGTTAGCCCAGTGGAAAGTGTAAAGTGTATAAAGCCAATGTCTCGTTAGCCCAGTGGATAAAGTGTAAAATAATGTCTCGTTAGCCCAGTGGATAAAGTGTAAAGCCAATGTCTCGTTAGCCCAGTGGATAAAGTGTAAAGCCAATGTCTCGTTAGCCCAGTGGATAAAGTGTAAAGCCAATGTCTCGTTAGCCCAGTGGATAAAGTGTAAAGCCAATGTCTCGTTAGCCCAGTGGATAAAGTGTAAAGCCAATGTCTCGTTAGCCCAGTGGATAAAGTGTAAAGCCAATGTCTCGTTAGCCCAGTGGATAAAGTGTAAAGCCAATGTCTCGTTAGCCCAGTGGATAAAGTGTAAAGCCAATGTCTCGTTAGCCCAGTGGATAAAGTGTAAAGCCAATGTCTCGTTAGCCCAGTGGATAAAGTGTAAAGCCAATGTCTCGTTAGCCCAGTTAGGATAAAGTGTAAAAGCCAATGTCTCGTTAGCCCAGTGGATAAATAAGGTGTAAAGCCAATGTCTCGTTAGCCCAGTGGATAAAGTGTAAAGCCAATGTCTCGTTAGCCCAGTGGATAAAGTGTAAAGCCAATGTCTCGTTAGCCCAGTAGATAAAGTGTAAAGCCAATGTCTCGTTAGCCCAGTGGATAAAGTGTAAAGCCAATGTCTCGTTAGCCCAGTGGATAAAGTGTAAAGCCAATGTCTCGTTAGCCCAGTGGATAAAGTGTAAAGCCAATGTCTCGTTAGCCGAGTGGATAAAGTGTAAAAGATAAAGTGTAAAGTGTAAAGCCAATGTCTCGTTAGCCAATGTCTCGTTAGCCCAGTGGATAAAGTGTAAAGCCAATGTCTCGTTAGCCCAGTGGATAAAGTGTAAAGCCAATGTCTCGTTAGCCCAGTGGATAAAGTGTAAAGCCAATGTCTCGTTAGCCCAGTGGATAAAGTGTAAAGCCAATGTCTCGTTAGCCCAGTGGATAAAGTGTAAAGCCAATGTCTCGTTAGCCCAGTGGATAAAGTGTAAAGCCAATGTCTCGTTAGCCCAGTGGATAAAGTGTAAAGCCAATACCTCGTTAGCCCAGTGGATAAAGTGTAAAGCCAATGTCTCGGATCGATTCATATATGGTACAATTAGTTGAATTCAAGTGTTAAAGTCCCAATCTGGCGTCCCAACACGCTTACTCTACAGTTCTACCTGTTCAGTCACGTATTGCAATGAATATATTCAGTATATTTCGCTGCAGGTGTTTCTGTAGCATGTGTTATGGTGACGGCTAGCATCGTGGTGATCGTTGTGACGGAAGGACATTCATGACGGCTTATTGGTCTGTAAATAATGGAGTCTGGGCTAGAAAATCCAGTAAACGACATCATGAGCACCGATCTACGCATACATCCATCAAATACATCGAGGCAGACCACCCAATCCCCGTAATCACGACGTACAAGCATACGTTGTTGAAGACAAATTCTAACCCGGATGTTGAGGGGTGAAGGACAATGTAACCTATATACTCTACATTAACATGTTCCTATCGGCTACAAACTGCATCAAGGCGCTTCTCAGATTTGAGTCATGCAGGGAGAGGCTCTCACTCCCACCACCCTGAAGTCCATGTGGCCATTGTTTATCCCACGTCGTGGTATTTCCCTGTCTCATGCCATGTTGACTCAGTTGATCCCACCTGTAGCGTTCGATTGTCAAAACTTGGCGACAAAAAGAGCCAACATGCCGTGTTGTCGCGCTCAGATCCCGACCAGGCGCTTCCCTCCAGCACATTGTGCCACTCACGAATGTATCAAATTATCGAACAATAATACTTTGTCAAAACACATCACCTCCAAGCTGAAGAACAGCAACAGCATCACGTGGCCATATTGTCGACCGCTGTGGGAAGTCTGACCATCTTTAACACACCTCTCAATCTGTTTGTTGAACAATTTGGTAAAGACAACACTACCTTGTAAAGATAACGTTATGATTAGGGTAGGAAGCTACTCAGTTAATCGTTTATACAACGTGGAGGTTCTGATTCATACTGAACACGAGTACGAGTTTTGTATAATTTGCAGTAGTCTCTTCCACATGTTGAACCTCAATGGGCTTTTCCAGTTCCAGTCAGTTATAACATTCAACCATACATTATTATGAAGATGATTAATGACCTAATTCATAATAGTTTATTTGGGGGCTTAACATCTAAAGGTTCTATCCTATCTTCCCATGGCTTCAAGTTCTGATAGTGACTCACTAAATAAACTCACTCACTCACTATTAAACATATCTGTGTGTTACCTGCATACAAAATGTCATCTAAGGCGTGGTTGTCGCCCAGTATTGTTTGTTTCAGAGAATATCAATCAATCAATCTTTATTCATATTGAAGGCCACAGGCCCATAGTATACAAGAATATAGTACACAATATCATAGAAAAGAATAACATAGTCACATCACAATATGTCATATCACATCAAAATGTATCACATCATATAACATCGCATTACACATACTTTGTCGTATCACATCATATCATAACACACCTAATTACATCATATCATACCATGTATCATATCATATCATATCATATCGCAACACACCATACCATATCATATCAAATAACAATATGAGTACATACATTCTATGAATTATTATGTTTATTTCTTAGAGACAATGCCTGATAGATAAAAGTTGACAACTTACGGATAAGAACATTGTCATCAGTACTCATTAACAAAGAAAATTTCAGTGAGTGAGTGAGTTTAGTTTTACCTGCACGCAGCAATATTCTAGCTTGTGGCGGCGGTTTTTAGATAATCGAGTCTGGACCAAACAATCCAGTGATCAACAGCTTGAGCATCGAACTGCGCAGTTGGGAACCGATGACATGTGTCAACCAAGCCAGCGAATCGTTTGTTTTAAGAACATATTACAGTTTATGTTTGAGTGACACTGACCCTTTCCACAATCATCACAGATATCAGAGGTAAAATAAGTACAGTAAGTAAAGTAAGTAAAGAAAGGTAAGTAAGTAAAGTAAGTAAAGTAAATAGTGAGTTGCCGATGTGACGTTAAATATTAACTCACTATTTACTTTACTTACCCTACTTACTTACCTTTCTTTACTTACTTTACTTACTGTACTTATTTTACTTACTTTACTTACTTTGCTTACTGTACTTACTTTGCTTACTGTACTGGCTTTACTTACTTTACTTACTGTACTTACTTTACTCCGACTGGGCTGACAGGACTAAATCATATTTCAGTGGTATTGGTTTCAATCAAACGGATTGAATACTTTGGAACAAATTTCACTTTCACTTGGCCATGTCCACTTCGAAGTGGGTAACAGTGGGAGCCTCCCTACTGACCGGTCATTTATATTCACGACAGTGTTCGCTTTACATGTTTAATGTCATAAATGTGTTCTGTAGAAGTGATTGAAAAATATTGAAACATCCGAGCCCCATTCTGAGTATTAAATGGCGCATCCCATACATAGATAGTTCAAAACGCTTTTCAAAAACAATCTTATTTATAATACACATGTATTAACATTGCAGTCTGTATAAGAAGTATTCATAATCATAGCGCCATTGTAGTCCTTGAAACATATAACAATGAACGATGTGCTACTCCAGTGATCACACTTGTTCTACTGTTGAAAGAAGATATGCCGCTGCTTGTGCACACATCAGTTTGTTCGAAACACACGATCCTATTTGTTGAACACATTTCTCGATATTTTCATCAACGTGGAAAGTAATCATATCAGGTATATGATTGATCCATCACCACTCCCTCTGGTCAGCCAATCACCTGGCGTCTTGTAAAGCAGTATCCAATCAGATTGTCGTTAGTGAAAACGGTCAGCCAATCATCTCTTCTCCTTTCAGGAAGGGTTCGTTGTAAAGTATTCCTCCTTGATTGACACTGTCGTTGTGGTATAATAGAATTCACGGGTAGATTGACATTTCCAGAGAGTTAGAATTCAATCTTTAGTCGTGTGTTACCAAGATGCTGGATATGCGGAAACTGTTGTTTTTTACGGCCGGTAGGTGGTTTCTTTATTACCTTCAGATAGGAGTGAAAAGGATCAACCTGTTGTATAAAGAATAACTATAGATTGTAGTTGCAAGATTTGCTTGAATTCGTGCATACATAATGTAATGTTGGTATGAGTTCAAAGTTAATAGGATTTCACAAAGTAAAATGAGAACAATTACATTTACATTGAACCCGTTCTTCTTGAATCACGTCAGTGCATGAAGCGTTTTAGCGGTGGTGATGTTTCCGATTACTTACTATCAAATTCGGAACATTTTGTCCCGACTCGTCTCGAGAGACACATACATGTACATGTGCCTTGAGCGTGTACTAGTTGCGTGGCTATGTGCGCTATATAAATATCCCATAATTATAACAATGATACTGTACAAGACGTGTTCTGGAATCTGTATGAGTACGGGGGCATTGGGGTAGCCTAGTGGTTAAAGCGTTCGCTCGTCACGCCGAAGACCCGGGGTTCGCTTCCTCACATGGGTACAATGTGTGAAGCCCATTTCTGGTGTCCCCCGCCGTGATATTGCTGGAATATTGCTAACAGTGGCGTAAAACAATACTCGCTCACTCATATCCTCTGAATATGAAAAGGGCCGTGTTGCCTATAGTAATACCACACTAGTAACAGGTATTATTTGGCAAGTGATATTAGGATTCGTGCACTGAAATCTTATAAAGTTTGCCAGTGTAACTGTAAGGCAATACAAAGTTGTGAGTGAGTGAGTGAGTTTAGTTTTACGCCGCTTTTAACAATATTCCAGCAATATCACGGCGGGGGACACCAGAAATGGGCTTCACACGTAATACCCATGTAGGGAACCCTGGCCTTGGCTTGACGAGCGAACGCTTTAACCACTAGGCTACCCCCCTGACCCCATACTCATACAGATAAACACTGTGTGAGATGCGGATGGACAAGTTGCCAAAGGATTCGCAAATCATCGGTTCCATCTCAGGTCGGGTCAGGTCAGCTTAGCTCAGCTCAGGTCTCATCTTTGTTTCGTCAGCACCTGGATCAAAGTAAACGTCTACTTCAAGCTGACATGACGTCATTAAACCAAAGCATATTTGCGTGACATTAGCTTATAACATAAAACATGTCTGCTTTACCCCAATGACATAAGTATACAAATTAGATAACCGGAAGTGGGGCTTTTTCGATGTTTGATGGCAACATTACTAGTGGAAACATAACAACATATCTTTAAACCAAGCCCTTTCCACTCAAAGAACGCCTGATTGTAATAGAAAGCGGCGCTGCCACCAACTAAAGCAAATTCTTCAAGTGAAAGTGCGACTTCATTCGAAATCGAAATTATACTAGAGATAGAAATTTAATCATATGACAACCAATCAAATCGTTCTTGTTATCATTATCAAAGTTTCAATCATTCTGCAAAACTTGTAATGTTGTAATGATCCGAGGAACTTTTTTGTCTCAGAAAATGAATAAACCACAAAGGAGTTGACAGGTTGGTTGGTTTTTTTGTTCACGCAGAAATAGAGCAATTGTATCACTCCGCATGCTATCTATGTAAGTTTTCGAAAGGTTTTTGATGTCAATTTTGATGCATTTATTTCTGCAAAGGCACTGAGTAATGTGAAAATGATAAACAAGATTGAAGGTTGTGTGAAGCATCAACCTCGTCCCGTTAATACCGGCAAATACTGAATAAATAAGATCCTGGTGATTTCCCATATTAGAAATAGTGGTGAATCCTCTGTACGGCTGTTATAATCGGGCTTAAGCCGGAATCAGTTTGTGATGAATACTCTATATAACAGTTTAAGCGGGTGTGAGCCCAAATCATTCGCTCACGAAGCACCGATACTGCAGTATGTGTTGTGTTGACAGTGATGGCCGTGTGTCAAGCAGTACCACCAGCCGAGGACTGCACTATCGGAACTGTCGCCTTCGAGCCACATGAAACTGATTGCAACAAGTTCTACCAATGCGATACTACTGGATGGAAGGAGATGGCCTGTGGCCAGGGATTGTACTTCAACCCGGCGACCAACGTCTGCGACTGGCCATACAACGTGCAGTGCACATGTGAGTGTTGCAGGGGCAGGATGCGGATGGGGATGACGGGTATAGGGTGGGTTGTGTTCACCTTGGGCTCAAAAACGACCTTCCATAGCCATGGTGGTCTATGAGTGGAGAGTGTGGATAGGTCTAGGTATATAAGGTCTATGGTGTTCTATTGCGGCACATGAGCCATCTTCAAACCCAAAGCATTGGTCTGTGAGGGGAGTTGTGGTAGTGTATGGGAGTTGTCCAAGATGGCGAAACGAATGTCGCAATCGGCAAACGTTTACACCAATTTACGATAGTCGTAATATTATGTTTTCTTAGATTACCTGCACTTCCATTGAGATGCAATATCAGAGGTATTTAGTTTGATCAGATATATAAAATGTGTGACTGCAGCTCGAATGACGATGAAATTCATTTCATGTTAGAATGTACTGCATATAATTGTATTAGAGATAAGCATTTTCCATATTGTGGACAGGATAGCAAACTGACCAAATATCGTCATTTCATTTGTAGCAATTGACCCAAACACTTTTTCTCACGGTTCGAAATATATTAAAGAAGCTCTTGCTGTTAGAAATTCTATTAGATCTTCTGTAATAAATTAACTGTTTTTCTTCTCTGTATAGTTTGCTACTCTTTATATTGTAAATTATTTTCTGATTGTACATGGACCAACGGCCTATAAAACTGAAATAAAATTAACTGAATTGTCGTAATGTCGGTAAATGTACGCCAGTCGTAAATTGCGATGTCGGCCCCACGTATAGACGTGTTTATTGCTTAACCGTAGACGAAAGGAAACATGGAGTACTACAGTAAAGAAGCATTGATCGCCCCAAGTCTCATCCTCGATCATCTCCAGGGTATACGTTACGATCACTCTCCACTTTACCCTGGATGCATCCAGGATAATTATAATACCTCCCTTTGCTGGCTCCGCATTCTCACAGTAGCCAATCAGCTAAGCCGCCGTTACATCCGAGCTTGCCAATGTCAACAAAGATAGCGGTCGCAGTCTCGAAGGTTTGTTCGCAGTACCACTAAGATTTTTGGAGAAATAATACAGACAAATTGACAGAACTTTCAAGAATATATACAAGAACTCCTTCCACATCTTTCAGGGTACCCTCTGCATCAATTGTGTTGCCATGTTGAAACGGTTAGATAATTTAAGAAGCGAAAGTGAGTTGTGATTGGTTCGCTCAACTTCCCAGCGTAGACACCTGATTGGATAAAAAGCCAGCCAATGGAGGTAATAAAATCATCGGGCCAAGCCGTGGATGCATCCAGGGTGTAGTGGAGAGTGATCGTAAGTTATACCCTGGAGATTATCGAGGATGCCTAAGTCTATGAAACCCACGGTTAAACAATTGAGGCAAAGTGTATATTATTACTGATCAGCGTGTTTATGTAAGGCCCTTTTCAACACGTCAGTACAACACCTGCTATTATGAAAGCAAATATTTAATAATACCTTTGTTTCTTTTCAGCCACCTCCGACACTACGGACGGTAAAGTACTCGACTTAAACTGAATCATTCAGAATGTGTGACAGAACGTGTAATATCTTTCTTAAACCATGTTTTAACTTTTGAATAATGAACTCATTTTGCATAGACCACCAACATCCACAGAATATTTTTTTGAGTGCAAGATTGCATCAGTGTGAGTTAGTGAGTTAGAATTTATAGTCACATTGGCAATATTTCAGCCATATCGTGACTTATGCATCAGTGTGAAAAACCTCGACCAGAAAAGTTTTTCTGATTACTATTTATGAACGAATGTGTGTACTTAAGTGTAGGTGGAGGGGAGTGAGTGAAAGAGTGATAGAATAGTGGTTGCTTTTATCATTGAGCTCTTGGAACAATTTCTAAAATATTTTTTGACAGACATAATGCAGTGTTTTTGCATGTATTAATGACAACTGTAATGTTGTCTGTGGTTCCAGTCACAAACTCAGGTAAAGTGGAACTCTGAAATACTTAATTGATACTGAGTGAGTGAGTGAGTGTATGCCGCTTTTAGCAATAATCCAGCTGTATCACGGCAGGGGGCACCAGTAATAGGCTGGATGGAGAGGCGTGGGTAGACTGATTGATTGTAACACATCTGATCGATGTTTCAGCTTGTAGTTCGACTCCGTGTCAGAACGGAGGGTCATGCGCGACGTCCGGCAGCAGCTACGCATGTACGTGTCTGTCCGGCTACACCGGCACCAACTGCGAGGTCACCACAACGACTGGTACAGTACACCATCACGTATTTTACATAGCCGAAATTTGTGAAAATTTGCTTTCATACGTTCAGCAGCTTACGATTGTTTTGTGATTTACTGTTTTGTTTGGTTCCGTCTGCAATCCGCTTCTTTTCCCAAATTCTGTATCTGTCCCACGATCATGGATGTAAAGCGACAGCACGAAACCTTTGGTAGTATTTGTTACGATTTCATTGTATTTACTTTGAGTAGACAATTCTATATTGGTTATACGATTTGCATTTTTACCATTAGAACAGTTGGTTAAACCTGTGAACAAAGCGTTGTTACCTAGTCGCCAATGGAACAATAGTAGATACGGAATTATTTCGCTGCAAGACTCATTTTAATGATAATTTTAGATTGCTTAAAATCTATATCGGTCAGTCTTTAACCACACAGTGTGCGCAGCCTTCAATGTATATTCATTAAAAATGAAATTTCATTCTGAAAATGTCGATCGCCAACAAACCGTTTTGTTCTATTATTGAAGTAAAAAGCGTTTTGGTAGCTTGGGAAGAGCTTGCTTTAAGGATGTTGCTGTTCCCGTTTGTCAGCCTGTCCGTTGCTAGGCGACTGCAGTAGCTTGTCAGCTTTTCGGCTTGTTGGTAACTTGGTAACAACAGATTTTGAAAGCAACTTGTTGCCAGCTTTTCGGCTTCTTGGTAGCTTGGTAACAACAGGTTTTGAAAGCAACTTGTTGCCAGCTTTTCGGTTGGTAGCTTGGTAACAACAGGTTTTCGGCTTGTTGTTAGTTTATTGGTAGCTTGTTAACAGCTTGTGGGTTTGCTTTACGGCATGTTGCAGCTACCTGTACGAATGACGACAGGGAAGCAGTTAACGATCTGAACTGTCAACTGTTCAGACGTTGTGTGAGCGGAGCGTGGGTGAATTACACGTGCCCGGTCAATACACGGTTTAACCCTCAGTGGAAAGACTGTTTCCCTCCGACTCAATACCCCTGCCCAACAAGTAAGTATAAACAGAATAACCTGCCAGAGCAACATCATGTCATCAACTAGCTGATGTATTCCCGTAAGTCTAAACAATGCTGTCAGATGGTTGTTACGACATAAATGAACATCAGCTTGAAAGCATTTTAATTTACGTTTCACTTGTAAAATGGATGAAAACAAAGAACAGGGTATTCATGTGAACTTGGTATTTATGTTAGTATGGACCGTCCATGTTTTATGAGCTATCACAGGTCAACTAATTTGCCTGAATATTGTACAATATCGAACCCGATATATCATATATCTCTCTCCGTGTTCCGGACCAACAAGCGGTTCATCTGTCTGTCCATCGCTGTCTTTGACCAGTTCCGTAACTGTGGCAGCAATTACTTCCCCGGTTCCTACTTCTTAAATGGCAGTGTCTGTGACTTGTCATGCATCACACATTTCGTCCTTCCAGTTCCATGTGACGCCAACCCCTGTCAAAATGGCGGATCCTGCGTCAACTCCGGGACTAGCTACACATGCACGTGCCCCAGCACATACGAGGGCACCAACTGCGAGACAGCCGTTGCATGTGAGTGGAAAAGTATTCGCGGGCGAGTCTGTAATTTGGAATTTAATGCATCTGATTAGTTTATAAAGGATTACAGCTTGTGTAATTTCTACGCACTGCTATATATTACAGCACATGTTTGTGGTTTGTGGATAAACCTTTTGCTCGTCAGGCCAAAGACGCGTGTTCGATTCACAGAGTACAATGTTTGTGCAGTTTCTGGATAAACCTTGTATACATCTATGTTTGATCCAGTGAAGAAAGTGCACATTTATGTTGGATACATAATAAAATGATCCAAAATGAAAGATTTTTCGATGATGTGTTGGATTGAATATTTCTAGTGTTTCCGCGAATAATGTTTTAATAAGTTATTGGTCAAATCATATTTCAACGTATTCTTCCTTTTGCCCAACATTTTATTATATGCATGTACAAGAAAATAGTCACGCTCACAGGATAAAGTGTGATATCAAAGAACTATCATAAATGTTACTCTTTCATATGTTTCAGCCGATGGACCAGGAGGTAATGTACACCTAGCTAGATTTGTTTCTTATGGCAAATTATTAATATCAACAATAAAGTGTTTTGAATGTAGATTTAAGTAAAGTATAAATATGCATACATCGACATGGTTATGAGAAAATATTTAACCAGCTCCTTACAATGTTCTTCGTGTGAGTTTGCGTATTAGCAATTTTGTGAAGAAAGAGCGAAATAGCGTGTATTCCTAAAATATTTACTGGAGGCAAAGAGTGCTCAAACGATTTTTATATTACGAATACTGGGCGACTGGTTAGCCAAGTGGTTAAAGCGTTCAAGTTCGATTCCCAACATGGGTACAATATGTGAAGTCGATTTTTTGTGTGCCCGCCGTGATATTGTTGGAATATTGCTAAAAGCGACGTAATGCTAAACTCACTATTACAAATATACGCTTTGGGGGCTTTTCTTTGACATAACAAGATATCTCAGACACAACCCTGGTTCGAAACAGGACAGGCGGTTCACCTTGTTCTCTGCGATGCGCGAGGACAATGGACTAGTTTATGATGATGATGGGTTTCAGCTGTTTGGCTGGAACTGTTAGTGGGAACTGAATACAGGGAACAAGGAAATGACATCACAAGAATAACTCATTGAGAGTTAATTGTTGCCTAGGATAATATAGACGTGATCAAATGTGCCTTTTAAAAAACCCGTTTAATTAGAACGATGAACGGCACAAAGTAGGACCGAAGGTCAGTAAGTCGCATTTTGCGTATATAGAGTTACGTGCCTTAGCCGTGCCATTACCAGCTGATCTTTAGTTCGAAACTAAGTGTCTTTATGAATGTAATTCTGGTCTATCAGCAAATACAACATTTTAAACACCTATTACGTGCGTCTCAAAAGGCACCCCAAACCATATAAGACGGCGTGACAATACTCAAATGTGGAATACAGTTATCAACGCATTTCACTCACTCACTCTCCGTTCCAGCGGCCTGCAGCAATTCCGACCCGTACCAGGTCAACCCCAACGACTGCCAGAAATTCTACGCCTGTGTCGACCAATTCTTGATTGAATTTACCTGTCCTGTGGCAATCCCATCCTTCAACGAAGCGACGCGATCGTGCGACTACGTCTACAACGTGCAATGCGGTAGGTCTTCAGTTTTCCGGTAGTTGTCACCACTCGCCCCTTTGGACGTGAAGATCAGGGTTAGAATTGATCTTCAGCAACCCATGCTTGTCCTAAGAGGCGACTAACGAGATCGGGTGGTCAGGGTCGTTGACTTGGTTAGGACGTGTCATCGTATCTCCATTGTGTAGATCGATCCTCATGATGTTGGTCACTGGATTGTCTGGTCCAGACTCGATTATTTACAGACCGCCACCATATCGCTGGAATATTGCTGAGTGTGGCGTTAAACACAAACAAACAAAACATCGCCCCTTTCCGAAAGCTGCAACAAGGCTCATCTTGCGTCGATGAAAGCTTCGTGCAAAATGCGTATCAGAATACGCGAGCGAATTCAAGTAGTTAGCTCAAGGAATCTTCAGTCAGTTCTCAGTCTAAGGAGATTTAATCCAAAACTTAGCAGACTCCGGTCATTGTTGATTAGAGCGTCCAGGGGGATAATCTGACATGCCCAATAATATTTCATCTACAGGCAAGCCCGCTTCTTGCACGAACGACACTCGTCTCCCTGGCAACGGAGTTGAATGTGATGATTTCTACCGATGTGTCAATATGGAATGGATCCAGTACAGATGCCCTTCTGGGTACAGATACAACGCCGCTATCAACGACTGCTCCGCCAACGTCGACTGTCCAACAGGTACAACTACATAACCCTTGCGACCGACGTAGGGGGATTGAAAGGGGATGGTTATTGAACAGCCAGAGAACTGCCTCGGCCAGTAGCCAATCACGCGGTATAGCGCTTTATGGCAACAAACCACCATGGTAACGCATATATATTCGGATTTTTTTTCTGATAATGCACAGTGAGTGACTGAGATTAGTTCTTCACGCTGAAGGCTCGGGTTCGATTCCCAGCATGGGTACAATTTGTGAAGCCTATTGCTGGCGTCCCCCGCCGTGATATTGCTCCGAACACCCCGGTTCTGGTGTCCCCCGCCGTGATATTGCTCCGAAGACCCGGGTTTGATTCCCCACGTGGGTACAATGTGTGAAGCCCATTTCTGGTGTCCGCCGCCGTGATATTGCCAGAATATTGCTAAAAGTGGCGTAAAACTCATTCACTCACTCGTGATTTTTTTATATATATTGCTGGAATATTGCTATCATTCCATCAACAAGATTCTGGTCCTGAGACCGCCTGCTGCTCCTACGCTTCCATGACTGTTTGTGTATGTGCACTCTTTCGCAGCAACCACAAACGACCAGCCTTGCGATTCAAGTCCATGTTTGAACAACGGCGTCTGTAGCAACATTGGCGGCAGCTTCAGCTGTCAGTGCCCCACGGGTTACGGCGGAGAAACCTGCGAAATTGCTCCACGTAAGCTCCCATAAGTTCCTGTTGTTAGGTCGAAGCCGTCTATGCCACAGGTGCTTGATAGGCATAAGACATATGTTTACAACCAGTGTCAGTACTGTATGGAATCATGAAAGGGGCATTGTCGCGTTGTCGCGTTGTCGCGTTGTCTCTCAAATTCAAGCAAAATTAGCCAAAACGCGACACGCGACATCACGACAACGCGACATTTCGCCCATTTGTCGCATTGTCGCGTTTTAGTGAATTTTTGGGGCTTCTTTTTACACATCTTAGATAGGGCGACGCGCGACAACACGACATATTTTGACCTTGAAAATTGTCGCTATGTCGCTTGTGAGGAATAGAAAAATATTATTCAAAACGCGACACGCGACATCGCGACAAATGGGCGAAATGTCGCGTTGTCGCGTGTCGCGTCGCGTGTCGTTTATTTTGCCTCACTTTACTTATTTTTGAGAGGGCGACAATACGACATAGCGACAATGTCCTTTCTCGGATTCCATAGTACTGCTCAGAAGGATGAGGACACTGGTTGTGAACACATGTTGTTATTGATACGTTTTACCGTACAAGCCCCTGTTGTGTATGCGGTGGGAGGAGTATCTTCGTACTAAAGCCTAAAGCTGCCACTTTTGTAACGTAATATAGTTTCAGCGAAATTTCTCGTTGCCCGAATTATTTTGACGGTGCATGGGAGTATTTTATCGCTGTTCTAATTTTTTTTTTTCGATATTTCAATTATTTTCTCGTTGTTCTCGTTACTTCGAGTAATTTCTCGTTGCGGGTATATTCTCGTTTCTTTCAGAACCTCCGTTTCTGTACAACACTAACTATGGTTAGAAAGAACCCAAACACAACAGTCATTTGATTTCTTACAACCGTAGTCCGTTGCTAATTTTGACGAAAAAGATACAACCAGTGGCAGTCATACATTTGTTTCCGCAATACATTTCGTTCTGTTATACATTTATTCCTATTTCCGTAATACATCTGTTTCCGTTATAAACGTAGTCTACTGAACATATATATCCGTAACACATCCTTCCCCGTTACACATTTGTTCCTATTTCCGTAATGCATCTGTTTTCTCAATTCATCTGTTCCCGTAATATATTCGTTCCTGTTTCCACAAAACATTTGGTTCCTCAACACATCTGTCCCAGTAATACATTTGTTCCTATTACTGGAGCATCCCGAACATTCAATCCTGCAGCTTCAGAACTTATTCCTTACCCGCCCGAATGAATCTTCCATATCACATAAATTTGGAATATGTCTTTTCCTATCAATAATCAGTTGGTGTTTGTATTGACTGAAGGTTGAGTGGGTGAACTGGAATTCAGATGAAACGTTTCAGTTCATACCTCATGTCGTATTGTCGTGGACCAATAAGAACATTTCAAACCTTATGGATTCGTAAATACAGCCCTCAAATCCAAAAACAACATTTCATGCACTTTATCCACCCAATACCGGATACACCCATGACACAAATTCTTAAAGACACAAACTGATTTGTGTTATATTTCATGAACCCTTGATACAGATCTCTCAACGACACAAACGACATTGTATTGTATTCATAAACCCCTGATATAGATCTAACGACACAAACAACATTGTATTATATTCATAAACCCCTGATATAGATCTAACGACACAAACAACATTGTATTATATTCATAAACCCCTGATATAGATCTCTCAACGACACAAACGACATTGTATTATATTCATAAACCCCTGATATAGATCTAACGACACAAACAACATTGTATTGTATTCATACACCCCTGATATAGATCTCTCAACGACACCAACGACATTGTATTATATTCATAAACCCCTGATACAGATCTAACGACACAAACAACATTGTATTGTATTCATAAACCCCTGATATAGATCTCTCAACGACACAAACGACATTGTATTATATCCATAAACCCCTGATACAGATCTAACGACACAAACAACATTGTATTGTATTCATAAACCCCTGATATAGATCTCTCAACGACACAAACGACATTGTATTATATTCATAAACCCATGATACAGATCTAACGACACAAACAACATTGTATTGTATTCATAAACCCCTGATATAGATCTCTCAACGACACAAACGACATTGTATTATATCCATAAACCCCTGATACAGATCTAACGACACAAACAACATTGTATTGTATTCATAAACCCCTGATATAGATCTCTCAACGACACAAACGACATTGTATTATATTCATAAACCCATGATACAGATCTAACGACACAAACAACATTGTATTGTATTCATAAACCCCTGATATAGATCTCTCAACGACACAAATGACATTGTATTATATTCATAAACCCCTGATACAGATCTAACGACACAAACAACATTGTATTGTATTCATAAACCCCTGATATAGATCTCTCAACGACACAAACGACATTGTATTATATTCATAAACCCCTGATACAGATCAAACGACACAAACAACATTGTATTGTATTCATAAACCCCTGATATAGATCTCTCAACGACAAATTACTGCTTGCCTCAAACATGCAATATATTTAGACCCTACACAGTTCCGTCAAGGATACAAACTGAATGACACAAGCAGCATTGAATGCATCAAGCATATTCTATACTTACAAAGTTCTGGATGCAACCTTAATATAAGGACACAAACAACCTCACATGCTTCAAACATCTGATGTACGTACCAGTACCAGCTTAGCCCTTGGTATAGATCTCTCAAGGACACAGACATGCGTTGTATTTTGCTACTAAAAGACAGACGTTAGGTGTTTTACTCGAAACATGTAATACAAAATTAATATTGTATGATTTAACAAGATCAGTAAATAGTCTTGTTGTCACAGGAATATCCGGTTAACTGTCACTTACGGGATCAGGAGTACTGGTGCGTGGCCTTAGGCAACTTAAGAAACAAAAGGGCGTGCGATTATTTCGCCATGGGTCGTCGTATATGGCAGGAGTACTGCTGGGTTCGACGTTAGGCACCAAACAAACGCGTACATTTTGGAAGATGCGAGTGGACGGTGACAAGCAGGACAGGTTCCAGTATCGCGACAAACACATGCCATCACTGATTGTCAGTGGTCCATCTATATGTTCCCCATTGTTTTAACATTCGCGCCCAATGGAACCTACTTCGGTAAATAATCGAAAATGATCATTCTATTGTGTTGATATTATTTATTCCCTCTCTGGCAGTGAACGGTGGCTGGAGCGCGTGGTCAGTGGTGGGCACGCCCTCAACGTGCACCAAGATTTGCGGGACTGGACAGCAGCAGGTTTCCCGGAGTAGAACCTGCACCAATCCCCCTCCTTCAAATGGAGGCTTGACCTGTCAGGGCGACAACACAGATACCATCGTGCAATCTTGCAACACAAGTCCCTGTCGTTAGTGTGACGTATTTCTATCTGGGACTTTCCCACAACCTCCTGGGCACATCTTCCTGTTTTCTATAGAATCCTGTCTATACTTTCACTCAGTATAACAACTTTCTGCAACATTGTCTGCACTTGTATCTTGTGTAGTAACATTCTCTTCACTGTGTACACTAACCTTTGCATACCAATATCCTCGTGGGTAGTAACATTTCCTTTGTTATGTGCAGTAACCTTCTTTCTACACCTGTAACCCTTGTGTAGTAACCTAAATCGTGTTTCAATCGTTCTGTAACATTGTACTAACCTTCTTTCTACACCAATATGCTGGTGTGTGGTAACATTGCCTTCATTGTGTGTAGTAACCTCCTTTCTACACCAATATCCTCGTGTGTAGTAACATTGCCTTCATTGTGTGTAGTAACCTCCTTTCTACACCAATATCCTGGTGTGTAGTAACATTCCCTTCATTGTGTGCAGTAACCTCCTTTCTACACCAATATCCTCGTGTGTAGTAACATTCCCTTCATTGTGTGTAGTAACCTCCTTTCTACACCAATATCCTCGTGTGTAGTAACATTCCTTCATTGTGTGCAGTAACCTCCTTTCTACACCAATATCCTCGTGTGTAGTAACATTCCCTTCATTGTGTGCAGTAACCTCCTTTCTACACCAATATCCTGGTATGTAGTAACATTCCCTTCATTGTGTGTAGTAACCTCCTTTCTACACCAATATCCTCGTGTGTAGTAACATTCCCTTCATTGTGTGCAGTAACCTCCTTTCTACACCAATATCCTCGTATGTAGTAACATTCCCTTCATTGTGCAGTAACCTCCTTTCTACACCAATATCCCTCGTGTGTGTAGTAACATTTCCTTCATTGTGTGTGGTAACCTCCTTTCTACACCAATATCCTCGTGTAGTAACATCACCTTCATTTCATTGTGTGCAGTAACCTCCTTTCTACACCAATATCCCCTGTAGTAACCTCTTTTCTATGTAGTAACATTTTCTACACCAATATCCTCGTGTTAGTAACATTCCTTCCTTTCTACACCAATATCCTCTGTATGTAGTAACATTCCCTTCAGTAACCTAACCTCCTTTCTACACCAATATCCTCCTTGTTCCTTCAGTAACATTCCTCGTTCATTGTGGTAACATTACCTCATCAATGTGTGTAGTAACCTCCTTTCCTAACCTCACCAATATCCTCGTTTATCCTCGTGTGTGTAGTAACATTACACCCTTCATTGTGTGCAGTAAACCTCCTTTCTACACCAATATCCTCGTGTAGTAACATTCCACTCAGTAACCTCCTCCTTTCTTGCACCAATATCCTCATTGTGTAACATTCCCAGTAACCTCCTTTCTACACCAATATCCTCGTGTGTAGTAACATTGCCTTCATTGTGTGTAGTAACCTCCTTTCTACACCAATATCCTGGTTTCTACACCAATATCCTCGTGTGTAGTAACATTCCTTCATTGTGTGCAGTAACCTCCTTTCTACACCAATATCCTCGTGTGTAGTAACATTCCCTTCATTGTAGTAACATTGCCTTCATTGTGTGTAGTAACCTCCTTTCTACACCAATATCCTCGTGTGTAGTAACATTGCCTTCATTGTGTGCAGTAACCTCCTTTCTACACCAATATCCTCGTGTGTAGTAACATTCCCTTCATTGTGTGCAGTAACCTCCTTTCTATACCAATATCCTCGTGTGTAGTAACATTGCCTTCATTGTGTGTAGTAACCTCCTTTCTACACCAATATCCTCGTGTGTAGTAACATTGCCTTCATTGTGTGCAGTAACCTCCTTTCTATACCAATATCCTCGTGTGTAGTAACGCTGCCTACAGTATATACTGTAACCTTCTTTGCACACGAGTACCCTCTTTTGTAGTATCCTATAATCCTGTCAATGTGTATCGATCGATATGCAAAGAGAGCATACATACTTGCCAGTGTCTAGGATCCAATATGTGGCATTCATCTTTCTGTTAACACCTATGTTAATGCCTGTGTGTACCACTGCCTCCTTTATAGATATCCTTCTGGATATGTGCTAGATCCATCAAGGTTGGCATTTCGTCCAAAAAGTAACATTTCCTTCTTTAATAACGGCCATAAAATTATAATGATAATAAAGTGAAATGGAGCCCGGAACAATTCCCAGAGCAGAGACAATCTAGACTTGCTTAATCATTCTCGATTTGAGTTGGGCTCCTTTTTAAAAGTATTTTCCATGGTCCAGGAGACATATATCTTCACCCCATAATCACAACTATTTATCTATACATATATCTCTGTCGTAATTCCATCCTCATGCTCGGTTCCCCAAGGAATACTTGCCGAAACATTTTCTCTAAAATGTAGACAACTGAGCAAGCTTAGGCGAAAATGAGACAGCGATGGTCCTAAGCTCTAAATCTAAAATTACTAGATGTACTAATGACATAGACGTCCGTTATGGACTGACCACTGTCGTCGCAATGAACTGCCCAATGGCTATCTTGATCTCTTCACAACATCCATCTAGATTGCCATTGACGAAATGGTTTCTGCGCAATGGCTACTTATATCTAGTCCACAGACAATTTCGTCAGTGGTGTACAAAACACCCACATGTGTTTCAGCTTGTGCCAGCCAGCCATGTAATACCGGAACGTGTGTCGATGTCTCGGCAACGGTATTCACATGTGAATGTCCTGTGAACAGAGTCGGTACCTTCTGTGATATAGGTAAGGTATATGTGTGACCTGTCTCATGTAGGTAAGCCATGTGTGATACAGGTGTTTCCTGTTTGAAGTAGATATGACACACATGCAACCCAATTAGCATAGGTGTCAAAAAGACGGATATATATCTGGTCTGTGTGAGACATGTATGACGTGTGGTAATGGTAAGCGGTATATGTGTGTCTTGTGTAATAGGTTGAGTATGTTTGCAGTAGGTAATACAGTATTTCAGTATTATAAGTATAGTATTTGATTCCATTAACGGAAGTGTGTTTCTTTGTCTCACCTGCAATAGTGATCCATGAAACGTTAGGTAACAACAGCAAATGTATAGTGAAGGACAAAAGAAAGTATACATATACTAGTAGGTGATAACTGAATTGAAAGAATTTGAATAGACCTATTTATTCATCATTCATTCCTGTAATCTGTAGCTGGGTATTTTGATGTAAAGGTTGCCAGTGTAAGATATGTATGTACAACCATATGATCATTACAATTTTTAAATGTAAATTATGGACCGAAAAACAGAAATCTGTTTGTTTACAGAAATAATAAATCTAAGGTATTCATCAATACTTGCTAATTATACAAAATGTGTTGGGGGATTTGTATTCTGTATGGGTGGTGTGGTGTGTGTGTGTGTGTGTGTGTGTGTGTGTGTGTGTGTGTGTGTGTGTGTGTGTGTGTGTGGTGTGTGTGCGTGCGTGCGCGTGAGTGCGTGCGTGCGTGTGTGGATGGGGTGTAGTTTTTCTTTTACTTCATAATTTGTAAGGATTTTAAATCATAAGATCAAGTAATTCTTGAGTTCTGACAATACGCCAGTGCAGGTCATGTTTTGACGTAATATAGCTGGCTTGCTAACTTAAGATATTTTATTAAAATCCAAACGTGTGGTTTCTTTTGCTCATCAGCATATCTTCATTTTTACCTGTGCTAGTCAACATGCTCACCTTACTGATGCATCCTTGTCGTGTAATATTTCTGTATCTCAATATGTTTAACAGAGAAAAACTAATATGTCTCAAATATTTCATTTTAAATTTAGTTTAAGTTACACTTATGTTTACATGACGTATAAACATGACTACTTCTTGTTTCTGGCTGTTGTCATGGTAATATGTAAACCTCATCATAATCATTGTCAGTCTTGTATTTGCCTGTTGTAACACAACTAATACTCCAGCTATCTGTATTTGATTATGTGTGTATGTCACTAACACCTATCTGTGCCCTCATTAACAAGATCATGTAACTATTTACACTTTTATATGAAATGAAATTATAATGCCACAGGAAGTGACGTACTGGCTTGGTCTTTGGAAAACTGGCTTATCTTTTTATATGCATGTATGCTTTAATCGATAGATCAATACCAACAGAATGAGAATGTATACACGTGTTATGTTGTTTGAATCGCTGTGGGGCAGAATGACGTCCACTCTTAATGGCAATGTTTAAAGCCCATTTCTTGTGTCCCCCGCCGTGATATTGATGAAATATTGCAAAAAGCGGCGTAAACCAATACTCACTCACTCGTTATATCATGTTATGACCGGGATCGGGTGGTCAGGCTCGCTGGCTTGGCTGACACATGTCATCGGTTCCCAATTGCGCAGATCGATGCTCATGCTGTTGATCACTGGATTGTCTGGTCCATTATTTACAGACCGCCACCATATAGCTAGAATATTGCTGAGCGCGGCGTAAAACTAAACTCACTCACTCATTTGATGACAGTAAAGTCATCAAATATCCCAAGTATACATTGTTCCAGTATTATCGGAACTGCATTATCATCATCCAATGTACACTCTGCTTTAAGAACAATATGAACGATTCCAAACATGAAAAGGAGAATTTAGCTAAAACCAGAGTAAGAATTTCATATTGATTCAAACCCTGACAATTTGAATACCAGGATGACAGTCAGCAAATTTGGGGTAATATCGCTTGCACGTGAATCCTCCTCTGCGGGTAACGTTGGGTGGGATCGGTGATGTTTGTATTGGTTGTCGAAAGGGCCGTGTTTTGTTTATGTTATCGTATCAAAAAAGATCAAGACATGATAACAATAGATGGAGTCATTGATAATTCTTGTGAGAAAATCGTATTCTAGATGCACAGCGTAGTGCCGCGACATTCAGGAACTTGTATACATTAAACAGTCTAGGGCTGGGTATCGACATAGATATCGATAATCGTTAACTAAATATGGATCGGTTATCGATAAATGTAATCGGAGACGTAACTTTGAGCAAAGTACCTGAAAGTAATGAATATATTTCACATTACTGCAGAGCGGTGACATGTTTTCGCATGGATTATTACCAAAACAGCGTCCCCAACATGATTAGAGGCAGACTGTGAATAAAGTCGTAAAATTGTATATTGTGTGAGAAAATTAAAACTTTCTTTTTTACAAAAGTTAATGTACGATATTATCGATAACACAGTTTTCATATCAATAATCATTAATATTTTTTCCTATCGACGATAGTTGTGATTATCGATCATTTTAGCCAGCACTATTACACAGTCCGTCCTCCTAACTGCATGGGTGTGTGCCCTTTGTCGCTGTAGTCGAGGTGCGTAACCCACTGTCTGATATACGTGAACACATTCTGATCTAAACTTAGGTTAGTCCTTGGAAGCCTCTGTGCATTAACTCGAGACGCGACTGTTCGCGTTGATATGTATATCGTTGTTCTATATTACTTCCTCTGAACACTGTCATGCTTCCCGATGAACGTCCCCTAACTGTCTCTAACCTCAACCCAAGTACTAAAAGACTAGTCTCCAATACTTGCTTGTCAATGGAGTGGGTCAAGGTCGTTCTATGACGCCATTGTTAGCTGATCATTCATTACTCAGTTCCGGCTAGCGCAGTAGTCAAAGCGTTTCCGCTTTACACTCAAGACCTGAGGTCGATTATCCCAATCTGACAGAGTGTTAAGTCACTTTCTGGTGTCCAAACAAACGTTGCATACAATGGCGTAAAACCGTTCTCACTCACTCACTCTCTGTTTGCTCAATATCCGAGTTGATAACATGTCCAATACTGCATCCTAAAGCCAATATCCGTCGACGATTAGAAGACGTTCTGAAGATCCACAAGAATGACCCAATGGCTGCAGCAGCAGATTGAAACTGTGAGACCTTTCACTGACAAACTGAATATACATTTTGTCAAACCGACAAACATTTAACGCATATTCTTTTATATAGAGATGAGAGGCTGTTCCAGGGTTGGCTTGCATGACATCATGGACAAGTATTATTATTCTCCTACCATTTCCCCTAATACTGGACATCGTTGCTTTACAACAATAACCTCTTCTGCTCTCTCTCTCTCTCTCTTGTTCATAACGGTGTTATGCTCTATCAGCTAACTCACATATTCTATTCATCCTCTACTAACACAAATGACAAGTTTCACGGCCATCTTGGTTCTGGTCACGTGACCCTACGTGACTCGCCGCCATGATGGTTCCCCGGTCGTGTGTTTTCAGAATGCGACTACCCCTGTCCCCCCGGTGTCGGCATTATCTTCCCCGACCTCACCAGCCCAACCAAATTCGTCAGCTGCTTCCAGGGACAACGGGCTTCGAGGGACTGCCCCGCAGGGACGTCCTACAGCAACGCTGATAATAACTGTGTCTAACACAGCACTCAGTCAGCGAACTGTAACTGTTGGTCATTAAAAGTTTCGTTTCTCGGTCGTCTTTGTGGAAATCTCTGAGAGGATGTATTTTACTTCTACAAATACACTAAACTACTTGTATGATGAATACGCTTATGTCGAACTGACGGATACAACGAATTGTCTTTTCTGTCCCGGGCCACTTGCAGTTGAGCAAGTGTAATGTTGTCCCGGGCCACTTGCCACTTGCAGTTGAGCAAAAGTAATGTTGTTCGTTATGATCGTTGTTCATTTTACGCACTTTGAAACTGAAGGGGTCGTTGTCGGCACGGGTACTACAGATACGTACCCCAGGTGCGTTTCTGTATACAGATATGTACCCTAAACAAAGTCAAAGTACAGAAACGTACCCGGTACCCTAAAAGGCGGACGAGTCCATATTCCGCAATCCAAAACCGAAACCATATGTAGTTGTTCCCGTTCAACTGATTCCGAGTGGTATTCATGTGCATCGCGAAATATCTGTTACTGTGTATTCTCATTACTTACATAACGCAATCAAATGTATCTAATACAACAGCATGACAGTTCCGATCAAGAATACGACACAATTGGAATGGAATCGTCCTAGGGTACGTTTCTGTATTCTCATTATTGCCAGGGTACCTTTCTGTATACAGAAACGCACCTGGGGTACATATCTGTAGTACCCGTGCCGACGACCCCTTCAGTTGCAGTTGACTCTTATCAAAGTGCGTAAAATGAACAACGATCATAACGAACAACATTTTGGCCCATTGAGTTCGTTATAACCGTAGTTTAGTGTGCATACATTTGAAATATATATGGCGTTCGTCTTATGCTACATAGACACTCGTATGTAAGTACATGTTCATAAGCCACTGGTTCCTAAGGCGATGCTAGAGGAGAATAGTATCTTCTAGTAGTTCTACGTGGATGTAAGTATTCTCCACGTGAATGTTTAACAGACTAGGTCATGCTTACATAGGTTTGTCTTGTCTAGACGCATTCTCAGAGTTCTGCGATAACGCTGGCACTGAATCATGATAGCCGTAAAACAACATCACTTTTACCGTGACCTGAGTATCACTCCGCACTCCGTTTCAGACATGTAAATTTGAGATCGTGTTCCTCCGCCTGACGTCATCAATCAAGTGCCATGTTTTAATCACAACAGAAACAAAACAGAATAATATGAACTTCCATTTTAATAACTATAATAATACCCATGACCTAAATGATATCTAAAGTAGATATTGGCGGAAGGATCCGAGTACTGCCGAACATTGGAAAGATAGATCCATCAGCTGTGCAATACGGAAAGCGAGGTGCAATACGGAATCCGCCTCACCAAGCTGTATTGCACGCTTAGCTGTTATCAGAAAAAATATGGGTATTTAATAATATAGATAAGAAAAAAGGTTTAATATTTTACTTATTGATATTTTTACTTCTCAGGACGATCAGCCCCTGAAGATCCGGGTTAGATTGGTCTTCTGCCACCCATGCTTGTCGTAAGAGGCGATTAACGGGATCCGGTGGTCAGGCTCACTGACTTGGTTGACACATACCATCGGTTCCCAATTGCGCAGATCGATGCTCATGCTGTTGATCACTGGATTGTCTGGTCCAGAGTCGATAATTTACAGCCCGCCGCGATATAGCTGGAATATTGCTGAGTGCGGCGTAAAACTAAACTCACTCACTCACTCACTCACTCACTCCCAGGACGATCGAGATGGATATTCAGTAATCCGCGCTTGTTTTAATAGGTGACTAATGGGATCGATAGTCAGGCTAGCATTTGCATTATGCATTTGATCCCATCCCTACTGCGTGAATCAGTGCTCAGGGTATCAATCACTGGATATTTCTGACCAGACACCATTATTTACTGACCACCGTCACGAAGTTGGAATACTGCTGCCTACGACGTTAAACTAGAAACAAACAAACAAACTTCCACTTTAAAGACTCGAACAGATGTGTCAGTTTATTTTGTCGCTGCGTGATTAAACATAAAGTCATTGCATTTCTATCTGTTATGTATTTTGCTGTCAGTATACAAGTATTGGATCCCGTTGCTTCGAGCTGTGATTGTACACAATTAATGTCGATATGTCTCTGGAATTTAAAAAAATATACATTCGTGGAAAGTAAGACAACAACTAAACAAACGCAGTGAGAAAATGAGGTCTACTGAATACGTAAGTATATACGGTATAATTCACTGGAAGCAATATCCGGTATAATGAAACGGTGTTGCTAGTATATGTAGTGTTCAGTATGAAGAAAAGACTTATGCCGAATCTGTTCCCACGTTCCTCTATTTTCACAAAATCAGTGGGAAATGAAGCATTGCCAAGTATATTATCTGACCTCATACATAAATGTCGCTTTCTGATTGGCTGAGCGCTCTTCTATTATTTTCAGTGTACCCCGCTTACAAGCGAGTAATATTTCAATGTACCCTGCTGTCAATGGCAACTCATTTGGTACTTCGTGGAAGTAATTCTTTATCTCGAATAACATTTAATCACGTATGATGTACGGAAAGTACCGATGTTTTGCAAATGCAAATCGGTGGAACGGAGATAACTTTAAATCTGTTTTCTTGTCAGCAAAATCTAGCGATGGATGCAAAAAGATTTGTACCCGTGCTTCAAACAAATCAAAATTACCATTAAGGTGTTCGGTAAGATATATACGTTGTTCACTGGTCCCTCGGGGCCCATGGGTTGATGTACCCTCGATGTTTGTTTATGTTCCCGAAGCCCGAAGTATGAACCCATGCACCCCTCGTGAACAGCGAACAACTTATATTGTTATTGTTTTCGACAAAACTAAGGAAAATGTTAAAAAATATAACAAAATACTCTTGATCACTAGATTGTCTTGTCCAGACTCGATTATTTATAGACCGCCGCCATAGAGCTGGAATACTGAACGCGGATTTAAACAGCAAACAAATAGTAAAGACAAACAAAATCTTACTTATGAGCCTTGATGTCTATTTGTGTTTTCAGCGTGCGAGTACCCATGCCCCCCGACTGCTGTGTATATATTCCCCGATCTTGAAGATGACACAAAAGGTGTTGTCTGCAACAATGGGGAACTGTCAAGCTTCCCATGTCCGTCTGGAACCTGGTCCGTGCAGCTCAACGCATGCGCATAAAGGTCCTGGCCCCTCAAGACATCCGCGTTTGTGACCATATTTATCTCTGTGATTTCTGCGGCCAATAAAATGTTATGAAATGTATGTATCTGGATTGTTTTGGTTGCATAAGTCGCACATGACATCTCGACACCAGCATGTAGCTATTGCTCATTGCTTTGAATGCATGTATCACTGGAACTGGTAGCCTAGTGGTTCAGCGGTTGGTTTTGTTTACAAACCCTGGTTCGACTCTGAACATGGGTGAGATGTTTGGGAAGCTCACTAGTGGTTCCCCACTCCCTTGCAATATGTTGTTACTGACGACACTTTGCGAGTCATCCTAACCTGAAGGTGTTGGATGTACCTCTTATAATTAGTATCAATCACGAGCTTGTTTGGCCCAGATTGAGCCAAGGCTAGTGCAAAACAAATACTCAAGACAGAAAGTGAATCATCTCTTCATCCTACAGGTTATCAGATTTCATGCGTCACACTGCTAAATCAATCTGTACACACCTTACGTAACTTCCTTAACTCGCATGGAAATCTTGAGTAAAATACTATCCGAAATGTACCGATGTTTATCTGAGTGCACTGGGTAAAGCTAAGTAACTAGATTCGTCTGCGTCGTCTGCTGCTTGGCGGTCATATATTGCGGACCTGCATGAATAGTGAGTGAGGGAGTTGGGTTTTACGCCGCTGGCTGACCTAGTTGACACAGCATTGTCAGGTTGATGCTCATGATTTCAATCACTGGATTGTCTGGGTCGGATTCGATTTTTCACAGATCGCCGTCATAAAGCTGGAATATTGCTGAGTGCACCGTTAAACAGCAAACGTACACAGCGTATAGTATTCGGTACGTGAGTGAGGTGCTTTCACGTCTTAACCAACGTTGCAGCAACCTCACAATGCTGGGATTTGATGTTGCACCACAGACAGACAGACAGACAGACAATACTTTATTACCTTAAAAGGAATTTGTTTATGTTCACAGAGCTTGACAAAAATACAAAAGAATAACAACATAAAATATGACATTACTAAAAACACAAAAAGAGATAAATATGTGCTTAAATAGAAATAAATGAATAAGATGAAAACTGGACATTCAACATTTGTTTAAACTTGCAATGCTTTGAGGTACAAAAGACGTTCGAGCTCGTATAGTCTTGGTGATTGGCACTGTATAGCGGCGGCCCGAAGGTAGAAGCTTATACTCTAGATTTAAAAAATGTGTTGTGTCATTAATGATTTTTTCAGTCGCTGAAAGTACTTGCCGCTCATAGAGAAGTGAAAGATTATCGAAAGTGACCCGCTAGTTTACTAGCTGTATTGACAATTTTGTTAAGTTTTGATTTGTTTTTGACTGAAACAGACTCGAACCAGCACTGAGAAGAAAAAGTGAGTTTACTCTGAATAAAAGTGGTATAAAGCAACATCATAACAGATTGGGAAACATTAAAATATCGCAGTTTGCGCATTAGATGGAGGCGTTGTTGACAGTTACTATACAGGGCATCTGTGTTGGTGTTCCACGTTAACCTGCTATCAATAAAAGTTCCAAGATACTTGTATTCAGTGACTGTCTCAATTGGTTCATCATTAATGAACAAAGGTGGTACTGTTGGGGAGTTAGTTCTGAAATCAATACAGAGTTCTTTTGTCTTTTTCACATTTAAAATCAAATGATTCCCTGTACACCATGATGTGAAATTCTTTACATTATCTCTGTATCGTCGTTCTGATTCATAATCATACATCTGACCAACAATGGCTGCATCATCAGCAAACTTCACATTTACCGTCCCTCCATGCACGTGTTTATTCAATATATCTATATCAATGTCATTTCATTTTACATACTACATTCTTATAAGTAAACAAATGTAATGAC